TTGTTGTCATACCCATTCATACCGTCAGTTGGAACTCTGACAGGCTAAAAGCAGTCAGCTGACACTCTAAGCCAATCACAGCTGCCCATTGCTGCTCAGGCTAATACTTCATTATTAGCCAAAGCAGCACAGAGGGAATGGATTGCCTGGGACTCTTGTTTAGCATTAAAATTTTAAAAACGGTTTAATGCTGAAAGAAATGATGGTACCAGAGGACTGCAGACACTATAATCAGTTTAATGAGATGAAGCAGATACAGTGCCTACGGTGTCCCTTTAAGGGGTTAATCAGCAAATTGCCAATTTGGTCATTTTCAACAGATTTTGTCCATTCGGACAAAATCCAATGTTAAGTGAAAAACTCTGATAATATTCCTTTCAAATCACTTTCCCAAATTTTGGGGGGGAAACTGTAACATGGATGAATACTAGACTACCAAAGCGAACAAAGTGATTCAGCCAAACTGAAAACACAAGTCTAATAATAATACAGCAGCAAAAAAAAAAAAAAAAATGAATAATGACACTTCCTATTTAATGAATATGTAAATATTATGGTATAACTTGCAATTATGAGGCCTTTTATACTTTGAGGTCTAGCTTCGCAAGACTTACAAACTTGCTGCAAATGCTCCGTTGAACATCAGGATAGGGTTGATAAAGATAGTATCAGGATTGCAGGATATTCTACACGAGCTGTGTGTTTAGAAACTATTAGATACTAAATATTTTTTATTTTTTGGTTAGACGGAAGGATTTTACAAATGCGCAGCGTGATTGAGAAAGGGAGCCAGACAGGCTGTAATGTAATATGCATGAGATATGAATACATTGTGCAGATAAACTACCCTGAGAGCATGGAGAGGAAATCATAGTCAGCATGGGAAAACTAATCATGTAAACATGTCAAGATACACATTCCCATGATACTGAAACACACAGATACACATACTGGGAAATAGTAGGGATACACAAATATAGACACACACCTATATAAAAAGACATGGAGATGTGATAAAGAAAAACACACTCATTGATATAGAATGTATTCACTTACAAAGAATATTAGCAGGAAGAATAAGTTGTAATTTCTCTCATTTTTCAAGTATGCCCTGGAGAGTGTGTTCAAAATCAATGGGGTATATATAATGTTACACATTAACAAATATTGCTAACTGCTTATCAAAATACAAGGAGGTAAATGTTTTCAAATACTTCAGACTAGCAGTAGATTTTATATTTTCTTAAAGGGACACTCTAAGAACCAAAATAAATGTAGCTTAATTAAGTGGTTTTGGTGTATAGATCATGTCCCTGCAGTCTCGCTGCTCAATTGATTTGTTTATGCAGTCCTAGCCTCATTTCCCCTGGCTGTGACTCACACAGCTTCCCTCCACACTACCAGTAAAAAGAGATCTAATTTTCTAACTTCCCTTATTGGACATTCATTTAGAATTTTTTATATTATGCTCTAATTTCCTGATAAAGCTTTCAGGAGCTTTATTAAATTAACATAACGGGAAATAAAAACTTCTACAGTAAAAACACTGTGCTGTAAGATCTGGTTGCATAAATAGATACTAAAGTGATTTAATGTATAAATGGCAGAGTATTGATCAGTGAGACTGCAGGGGTGTAATATGTATGCGCAAACTACTTCATTATGCTACCATTTTTTGGTGCTTAGAGTATCATTTTAAAATGTACCTTTCATGTTACAAATAGGTTTTATATTTTAAAATATAGAAAGCTTAAGTTTTAATTTTGACAATGTGTTACAAAAATTACTAGAAAAAATAAAGATTAGGCAAAAATATTTTAAAAATCACCTGTCAATCAAAATATTGTGCTGATGTGCTGAAGCATTGACTGACAGAGAGCAAGAGAGATCTTCAATGCATAGCAACCACAGCACATGCACTGTGGTTTCTATGACTACTGCTCGATTGAGAGGGCAGGCACTCGCAGGCGGACTGGAGGTGGCTGTTAATAAATTAACACCCACAAAGCTGAAATCAGAAAGAGCTAACTGAGAGCAACAACAGCTTCCTGTCAGACCCAGTAGAGGATACAGAAGATTCTCTACAGCAGTCCGATCAACCATGCTACACAGGAAGGTAAGGTGGCAGGCACACGAGGAGGGGAAAGGGAGGAGAGACCACAAAAGGAAGGTGAAATATACAAAAGGGGTTGGGGGTTAAAGATAGACACACAAAAGGGGCTGGAGGAAAGAAAGAAGCATAGAAGGGAAAGGGAAAAAGTAACACATAGAAGAGCTGGGGGAAGGGGAGAAAGGGGCTGGTGATGGAGAAAAAGATACATTAGGGAGCAGGGGGAGAAAGAGACACACAGCAGCTGGAGAGGAATAAAGAGACACACAGAGGGGAAAGGCAGATAGATACACAAAAGAGGTTCAGGAAAGGTAGAAAGAGACACAAAAGAGTCTGGGGAACGGAAATATAGATACTACAAAGGATCTTGGGGGGGAGTTACACACAAAGGGACTGGGGGAAAAAAATAGACACTTAGGGCTGAGATGAAGAACGAGACACACAAAGAGCCTTGGGAATGGAAACACAGACACATAAAGGGATGGGAAAAAAGAGATACTACAAAGATCTTCAGGGGATGGGGGGGGGGGGATTACACCCTGTCATGCGGTATCCGTTCCGGGTTCGGCATTTCCGCTATGCGGAGCCGGCCCCGCCCCCTTCTGACGCGGCTCTCTGACACTACTTAGAGAGACCGCGCCAGAGACAAACCGCTTGGTGATTGTGGGACCTACTTCCGGGTATAGACGCCGGCTCCACAAGCTTCTCTCGCAAGCCTTCCTAAACCTTTGAAGAAATAAAAGGATTATGCTTCATCCGCTAGAGGATTACTGGAGAACGGACACTTTACCATTTATCAAGTGGCCTCTAATACCGATCTCTTGGAGGACAACTCACATTAATCTTAAGTATAACTTTCAATCTATTGTCTGCAATCTCAGTTATTAATGAACTGTTTCTTGCTTGCTCAAATCTTCTTTGCTGCATACATCCTAATTATATTGAGGACAACTCCCATCAAGCTTAACCACTATGAACTGTTTCTTGCTTTGCAAATATTCTCTGCTACCTGCATACTATTTCTATTGAAGATTATTCTCATCAACCTAAAGAATATTATTCAATACATCTCTGAAGAAATACTTATTAATGAACTTTGTATTGTTTGCTATAACCCGCAATTTCTTCTTATTGAATTATTACCTATATGCTATTCACTTAAGTTTATCACAATCATTAAAACTTTGTTTGATTCTCTAATTGCCAGCAATCCTCTCTTTTCTTAAAGCTACAGTATTGATAATTTAAAGATTCTCCGTTTCATTGCTGTTGTAATTAAGGAGTTCTACAAGCTGCAGTTGAGTTCTAATTCCAAAAACCCTTGTAGTATAACACACACAAAGGGACTGGAGGGGGAAGAGACACACCAGGGCCTGAGATGAAGAAAGAGACACACAAAGGGATTGGGGAGAAAGAGATACAATGGGTTGGGGAAGTAAGAGGCAAAAAGGGGAAGGGTTGTAAGGGTCGCACAAAGGGGAAACATGGGGGCTAGGAAAAACTAAAGTGGAGTGTAAGGCACAATATTGGGGATATGAAACACTAAAGGGGGTAAGACATTCAAAGGAGGGGATAAGAAACACAAAAGGGCATACAAAATTCAAGATGGGGTGTTAAGAGACACACAGGTGAAGATGCATTTTTGAGGGGAAAGGGAGCACTTAAACATATCTTCTCATGTGAAGCCAAAACTCCTTGCACTGGCCCTAATAAATGTTATATCTACATTTAACATCTTAACCTAATTAGTTTTGCTTCACAATGGTGGTGTTAATATAGTTATATTAGAAAAGAAAACTATCAAAAGATATAAAGAAGAAAGGTATACTTAGCTCATTTGATAGTTTCCAAGTACATGCTGGGTAGTGGATTCTCTGGCCTGAGAAAGGCATATAAGGCAGGGTTCATGGCTGGTAATGGCCGACTTGGTAGTATAATTGAATGGTTGTAGATCTAATAAGTCCGATAAGGATGGAAAAGTTGGATGGCTATTGGTAATCTCTGAGAGGAACGTGGGGGAATGGATTCCTGAAAACCTCTGAATATATTCTTGTCTGGTATGATAGCATGAAGTTATGGTAGTTTTGGCCATAGGTTATCCTGTGTTGTTGAATGCATGTAAAATATATAATTAATGGTGTGTGAGATAGTTTTAGTTTAAGGTGGTAAAAAGAAGCAAAACCTAGGAGACCATTGTCATGTTCCAATGAGATTCTTTAAGCCAGGTGAAAAGCTGTGTTATGCGTTCTACAAGTATGGGACAAAAGTGCTAGGTGGGATAGTGCATGCTATGCTGCATGAGTATATCTAATCCATGATTTTGTCTCTAGAACGAAAGAGTGGCCGTGACAGTATGGGCGGCTGTAGGAAGCGTATGATGAACATGCCTGGAATATAAATGAGACAATTGTTGGCAGGGATGTATACCCCAGCCTGGTACATGAAAGTAAAAGAAATGTAATAAGTGGCCAACCAAGTGAGTTCCCCAGAAATATCATGAGCATATGGATGATGAGTGGCGTTTGTTGATGATATGACATGTGCTTAGTTGTCTGAGTAACAACGGATTGATGACAGCAGCTACTACAATGGGGTAGATCCCCCAAAGGGGCTGAGGTGGTGGAAAAAATTCCAAACCTGGATGCCATGGCCAACAGCTCCAAAGTCATCATTCCGGTAGATCGCTGCCAAACCCGTGGTAGATGCCGCGTCTGACCATCTGGTTGGAGAAGTGTCAGACAATCATGGAAGGAACATGCTTTTACCATGCCAAGTGGTTAAGAAATTCCCCCCATGTGCAGGTCTGCTGTGGCTGGGGTGTTTAGGGACATCCTCTGATCGTCATGTTGGAAGTGTGGAAAAAAGGGGAAAGTACTCTGGATGTGAAAGCGTGGTCTTGTGGTATGATTTGCATGGCAAAAGTAAGGAACCTGGTAGGGATTGTAGTTCCTTGCGGTTGTAAGTACTAAGCAGGAGGTAGTGATTGATGTAGTTGAGAATGTTCCCTATTTGTCTTTTGGTAACTTGTGTGTATGGATGCTGACTCAAGTTGTATGCCCAGTAATGTGATGATAGTGTCTGGGCCTTCTGTTTCATATGGGGTACTGGGACGCCCAAGTGGTCAACCAGACTAAGCTGCCATGAGGCTTCCAGTGAAATTTTTTTATCTTTGATCAACAAGAAGTCTTCTAGATAGTGTATGACTGTAAGGCCTCTGGATATGTTATCATAACCAGCACAGAGTATCTGCGAATATCGATAGTAGGCTAATCTGTAGCCCGAAAGTTGAGCGGGGAAAGGATTACCCATTTTATGTCATGTAAGTGCCAGTGTGTAGGGTAGATGGTAGACGTTTACGGCGTTGCTGATATTGGTCTTACTTAACCAAGCTTCAACCCATGCTTGAGTGATAGCTGTAAAGGTTGATCAATGGTGTTGTATAGTAAGGAAACTCCTCGGAGGTTATGAGGGAGTTAAGACTTGGGGTAGCGGAGGTGTGTGGTGCCAATAAGTCTATGGTTAGTCTTTGTTTAAGGGAAGATTTCCTTGTGACAATACCAATGTGTTTGTGTTTGGCGCCATGCTGTAAATGGTGGAGATTGGAAAACCCAAGTAAAAACCCCTCTGCAAATCTTGGCTATGAGTGTGTTTACAGCCGATGGTTCTGTTGTGCTGACTGTAAGTGAGGGCATGCTATATTCCTTGAAGGTGTATTTATGATACCTGTATGGGAGCCCTTTGAAGCTCCAGAGCTTTAGTAAATCTACTACAAATCTGGAAGGGTGATGAGTCAGTAGTGTTGAAAATGCATTGGTGTGTACAGATGGCGAGTACGTTTTTTGTAAGTTGTATTGGGACACATGGTTTGTCATGTGCCCTGAACCATTTGAACATATATGCAACAGTCTATATGCAATGCAACTACTCATACCAGTTGTCTCTGGTAGTTCAGAGGTGCTGGTACCTGGAGCCTGAGAGTGTTCGTCTGTTTGTTTGGGACAAAATCCCTTCTGTATGGGTACCTGCACAAACAAACATATCTACATAGTCCAAGTGCCAACACAACCAAGGGATGGTCAGTTCCCGATTTACCTGGAATCCCTGGATCTGACCATCACAGATACATCGTCATACATATATATGCCTTGTTTCCCCAATGTGCTGGGATCGTATGTGCAGGGTTAACGTCTTGTGTGTCATAAGAATTGATTGTACCAGGTAACCAAGTTTCGGTTGGTGCTGGTTGCACAGTAGCGTGAGGCCCAGCCTTGTGAGGGCTGTGGTGCCTGACTCGAGATTGCCAGTCTGTCGTAAATTTTTTGGCTCATGAGTTTATGAGTGAGGCTAGCATGGCCTGGGTGTCACCTGAGTTGGTGTTGCTGAGCCTTCCCCTGCCTCCGTGTTGTCCGTTGATGTATGGAGGCGTTTGAATAACTCTGCTTTCCTTGCTGTGGCAGGGTAGGGCTGATTTGTCGCCTCCTTAGGTCGGTGGTAATGTGTGGGATCGTCCAGGATCTGATTGCTGCTGGACTAGCAACATCTCCTCTGGTTGAAGGTGTATCAATTCTAGCCGGGGTGCTAGGAAGAGGTGATTCTGCACCATCTTTTGAGAAATACTGTACCCAGGGGTCTTGTACTGGCTTGCTAGTAAGACATAAGGCGGAACGATTAGGCTTGGTGTTTTTTGGTGACTGGTGAGGCCCTGCTAGTTGGCAAGTGTCTTGAATGGCTCTATCTATGCGTTGGTGAGAGGGGATTTTTTGTGGCCACCGAACGTTGTGGCAGGATGTTGGTCTCTCGGTGACAGTAACCAGAAAATAGGAAGGGGAGTGACAGGTGAGGCCCTCTCTATGATACAATGCGAGGCGGCTAGCTCACGAGTGGCCCAAGGGGTGTATGCCTCCGAGTGTGAGGCGGGGTGTTGGCCTCGTGGGACCACTAACCGAAGTGTAATGCAGAGAAAAAAGGGGGTAATACCTATTGGGTCCTAGAACCCTACTTGCCAGTACGCTATTACTATTCCAGGGAAGGTAAGAGATGGATAACTACGGGAGCAGGTGTATGTACCTGGTAGTATGGTATTGAACCTGACAATTCGTACAGTTTTTTTAGTAGCAACTGTAACCTGAATGGATAAAACCGTATGGCATAAGGAAATATAGCATAGACCAAGCTTATCTTAATATGTACAGTATACGTGAAAAGTAAAGTGCCGTGATGTGTAAATATAAAACATCTTAGCCATACTGGTTAAATATGTATCAATCTTAACCCATTAAGTGCCATATGTACAAGTGAAAAAGTGGTCTGTCCCCACCTTGTATGTTGTATGTCCCCTTGCTAGGGGAAAGTCTGTTGTGTGAGCAGCGTGCTGGGAAAAATGTATGTGAACTATATTACCAGTTACGTATATACAGATGCATCTGCTACTGTGTAATAATATGTGTATTTATACCAGATGTTGATATACTACTTGCTATGTGAATTGTTGTATGTCTTATTGAATGGTAGGGGTCAGTGAACATGGTGTTGCAAAATGCAAGTGCACTGGAGATCTGCCGAGTGCCCTATAGGTGGCAGTATAGTTGTATACTGATTGGTATGTGAAATGTTGTTTGTCTGTTAAACCTATAGGGGTCAGTGTTTTGGTGTTTGTAAAACCCCATGGAAATTGTCAATGTACTTGACAGACCTGTAGGTGGCAGTGTTGGTAGAACCACTGTTGGTCTTGATGTGAAATGTCAATTATTGTGAATTAAACCTGAAGTTGAGCCCATGCAGGAGTTTAATTTATGGTTTATGTTTAAAACTTATGTATAATTTATATTGGCTGGTAAATTGTATATGACATGTGAAGACAGTTTTGCTGTTGACCAGTAGGGGTCAGAAATGCTGATTGTATGGTAAAAATACCCTTTAATACAAATGCAAGTTTAACGTGAGATTTTGAGAGTGACCTGTAGGGGCCAGTGTGGTTTATGTGAAACATTGTTCGTGAGCTATGCCCCAGCATTATAGTGGTATCACAGGGAAACGAACAGTGCCCGTTCAACAATATACAATATGTGAACATAATAGCTTAATAACAGTCATTGTAACAAACCAGTGTTCTGTTCGTGGGTTGTAAACGCACGAAACGTGTGTGCAGCACAATAGTAAATGCATGAACTAGTTCCCGTTTGGTAGAAGATTGCACGAACCGTGAGCTTGGTATGTCAGGGAAACAAATCGAAACGAGCAGTGAGATTTGAAATGCACGCACAGAATTGCCTGGTATGTTTAGGCAATTGAAACAGAATGTGTTCCCATTTGGGAGTATGCTAATGCTCGAAATGAGCCAGTGACAGATATAAACAAGTGAGTTTAAACGAATGATATGCATGAACATGCAATGGTTTTAGAACAGACTTAGACAAAATGCAGCAGTAAAGTGAGAACATGACCCGTGCATGGTGCCGTGGGACTGATGCCTGGCGTAACGGGTAGGTAGACTTCCGGTTTGTGAGTCATTTGGACACCATCCACGGCGATGGATTGAAGAAAGAAGGTGGTAGGCCGGAAAAGCCTGTAGCTGGATTCCTGACACAGCTCAGCTTAGAAAACCTCATGGACTAATCAGGTAAAATGGCGTCTGGATGACCCGGGAGTGGAAATCATTCTGATGCTGACCTCAAGCGATATGGAGTCAGGTAAGGGGTGTCCCTTATATAGGGGAGTGAATTAATTTAAGCCCCTCCCACAAATACAGGCCAAATGGCCTTAATACATATATGATCAAAGTACTTTTTATATACTTTAGAAACTTTTAAAACTTTTTTTCAGGCACTAGGGGGAGTACCTGAGAGCTCAAGCAGGCACCCTGCAGGCACTGCACAAGCCGGCTATGTGATTGCGAGGAGGGCCGGATCAGGCAGTGGGGATCTGCCTAAGCTCCCAGGCAGACCCCAGGATCGCGATCGCCGGCGGGAGATTGCCAGAGATCAGGTAAGTGGCTATTTGCTATTGGACGTACCAGGTACGTCCGAGGTCGTTAACAACCATTTTTTGTCGGACGTACCTGATACATACGAGGTTGGGAAGGGGTTAAATTGCACGGTATCCCTGACACTATCCTCTCGGACAGAGGAACATAGTTTACTTTCCGTTTCTGGAAAGCCGTCATTCTGTTGAGTTATTGGGCACTTTGAAGATTTAAGGACTCTTATCTACGGTCTGGTCATTCTTAGGAGACTCTGATATCATTGGATGCGGAAGCCAAGGAAGAGTTGATGTGGCGGCTCTCACACGTGGATTAGAGTCATCTTCGGTTCAATGCCAGATGTAATCATTGAGTCCCACTCCCTTTTTTGTACTCTTATTTTCAGGTTTACATGGGTCTTTTTTGGTATTGGAAGTTGAGCTGTTGTTATGATTTGGATTACTTCTTTTCATCTATTTATATGCCAGTTTACTTTGATTGTGATGTTCAGTTTGTGTGTTTGCCTTTCAAGGAATTATGACCTTCTTTTATTTGTTTAATATAATTGTATTATTATCGTATATTATGATGTTGTGTATGTACTTTGAGAATTTGTGTATATTATTGTAATATAGTAAGTTTTTGTTGCTGTGCTCAGGAAAGTCGTGAATAGGGACTGAAATGTCGCCCCCGTATAGCACTACAAGCATTTTATGCAAGTGTTTTTTTAGTGTTTTTAAGATTAAGAAATAAACGCTAAGTTTTAAAAGTAGACTGTGAATGCAGACTACCTTTTGGAATTTAATTGTGATAAATGTTTTTTTGCTAGTCAAAATTATGATGATTACCATATTTTATTTCTTCTTTTCAGCTTGAGATGTATTTCCATGGTTGGATCGTCTTCGTTGGAACCCTTTTCTATGTTGGACTTTTTATTGTTTATGTTTTCCCGGTTCCACAGGAAAGAGGGGTTGCTGGGAGTGTGTTGTGCCTTTATAGGTTATGATCCCTTTAATTGGTTAATGTGTTGCTAAGCATGATTTTGTTCTCTCTTTGTTAACCCTTTCTTATGTTTTGCTGTTGAGAGAACAAAGAAAGAGACTAGCATAAAAGAAGCCTCCATCTCTTCATAAAATCATGACTTTATGTCATGTTAAAGGAACACTATAATGTCAGGAATAATATTAGTCACTATTGTGGCTGATAATCTCCCATAGGAAAGCATTGGGAGGCTAGTTTGCAGGTTAAAGGAACTCTATAGGTAAAAAAATGCACATCCTTGTTTTCCCTCCACTTCCCCCCTCCCCCCAACAGCAAACCTACTGTCACAAAATGCTTTTTTCCCCCCTAAAAAGTATAAAAATGAGCTTTAGAAGTACCCTTTTTAATCTTTATTTGGTTAGATTTGCTTTCTCCCTGCTTCCAGTATTTCAGCTGGATTCTCCACAAATGGCCATGTTCCAGTGAGTCTCTATGAGAATCAGTAATGACACACCATACTAGGCGTGCTGGAGCTTAGTGATGAAATTTGCATCACTCAACACATGCCAACAATGCCTGCCCAATAAGTACTCAATCTAAGTTACAGCATTTAGACACTAGAACTTACATACCACATCTCACACACAAACATTTCCTCAACACATTCGGTATCATATAGTGTCAGACAAAGTTTGAAGGAATTAACCCCTTAAGGACCGAGGACGGTTCAGGACCGTCATCGGCATTTTTGCCTTGCCGACCGATGACGGTCCTGAACCGTCCAAACGGTCTGGGGCTACTTACCTGATCGCCGTCGTTCCCCCGGCGGCGATCAGTGTTCCTCCGGTTGTGGGGAGACTGCCTGCAGCCCAGACAGTCTCCCCACGGCAGATTAGGACCCCTGTGGCCATGTGATCGCTTAACACAGCGATCACATGGTCACAATAGGTGTCCATAGTGCTGCCTGCAGGGGGACTGTCTGTGCTGACAGGCAGTCTCCCTGCAACTGTAAAATCAGAAAAAAAATTAAAGTTAATGGTAATAAAAAAAATAATAATAATTATATATGTATAAATATGATATATAGACATATATTATATCTATATAATATATGTCTATATATCATATATATATAATGTCATACTAAGTGTATTTTTATATTAATATGTACTTATATTAATATAAAAATACACTTATAATTAAATTACACACGTATATATATAATATATATAATAACTATATATATTGTATATATATATTATTATAAAATATAAATAATAAGTAATTTAAATTAAATAATTTTTTTTTAAATAATAATAAAAAAAAAAAAAATTATATATCTATATGAAATTTTATTCTAACTGTATTTTAAAATTAATATATATATATTTATATCAAAATACACTTAGAATGAATTTGTATATATATCTATGTATATAAAAATAAATAAAAATAATAAGAAATATACATACGTCCATATACAAAATTACATAAATAATTATATAAATATACACGTAGACTTCAAATATATAAATATGCATATATATTTAAATTCTACGTGCGTATTTATGTAATATTTTTACATAATTCAGTAATTTTATTGATTGCAATTTGAGGGACCTGCCTGCCAACCCAGGCCGAAATTCCAGAGAATTTAATTTGCTAGCACTGTATTTTACCCTGTAACGTTCTACGACACCCTAAAACCTGTACATGGGGGGTACTGTTTTACTCGGGAGACTTCGCTGAACACAAATATTAGTGATTCACAACAGTAAAACATATCACAGCGATGATATTGTCAGTGAAAGTTACTTTTTTTGCATTTTTCACACACAAACAGCACTTTTACTGATGATATAATTGTTGTGATACGTTTTCCAGTTTTTAAACACTAATATTTGTGTTCAGCGATGTCTCCCGAGTAAAACAGTACCCCCCATGTACAGGTTTTATAGCATTTTTGAACGTTACAAGGTCAAATATATGGGTCAAATATTTTTACATTGAAAATGGCCAGGTTGGTTACGTTGCCTTTGAGAGCGTATGGTAGCCCAGGAATGAGAATTACCCCCATGATGGCATACCATTTGCAAAAGAAGACAACCCAAGGTATTGCAAATGGGGTATGTCCAGTCTTTTTTAGTAACCACTTGGTCACAAACACTGGCTAAAATTAGCGTTCAATTTAGTTTTTTTACTTTTTTCACACACAAACAAATATGAATGCTTACTTTGGCCAGTGTTTTCGACTAAGTGGCTACTAAAAAAGACTGGACATACCCCATATTGAATACCCTGGGTTGTCTACTTTAAAAAAAATATGTACATGTGGGGTGTTATTCAGAGATTTATGACAGATAATAGTGTTACAATGTCACTATTGATAAATTTTAAAAATGTATGTTTTTAAACCGCAATATCCTACTTGTACCTATAGCCCTATAACATGCAAAAAAAAGCAAAAAAGCACGTAAACACTAGGTATTTTTAAACTCAGGACAAAATTTTGAATCTATTTAGCAGTTTTTTTCATTCGCTTTTGTAGATGAGTAAAAGATTTTTCAAGTAAAAGTCAAAAAACATGTATTTTTTTCAATTTTTCATCAGATTTTTGTATTTTTTAAAATTAAAATACATGAGATTATATAAATAATGGTATGTAAAGAAAGCCCATTTTGTCCTGAAAAAAACAATATATAATTTGTATGGGAACAGTAAATGAGAAAGCGGAAAATTACAGCCAAACACAAACACCACAAAAGTGTAAAAATATTCCTGGTCGCAAATGTACAACATCGCAAAAACAGTCCAGTCCTTAAGGGGTTAAAAAACCTTATTGCAAATAATGTGACACAAGAAGCAATGCTGAAGCATAAAGTTAGATAAAGACAAAGGATTACCATGTAAGCATCAAGAGGGATATTGACTCATTTTGTTGCAGGCTTCAAGTGTTTCTTGTTTGTGTTTTGATTCACGGGAAACAGAAATGTGTGAAAATTTTAACTGTATTTTTAACAAATCCTATATTTCTCTTTTATTACTGTCACTATACTTCGGATGAAAGGATGACTGGCCCTGTACTTGTTGCCTAAGTCATTTCACAAGTATACTAATGGCTCAATCTGTTCTTGGGAGAGTAGCCTTATTTGGAGCAGCCAGACAATCGTTCTGTTTGTACCAGTGGCATTCCAGGAAAAGAGAACAAGTATTCCTTTCTGAGTTAAAACAAGATACCCTTCACAATAAGACCAACTTATATTGTGTGGCTTAGTGAATCAAACTACAAAAGAGAGCCTACAGGGATGATTCTTCAGAACAACAGGTTGGAGAGAAAAGAAAAAGAGCAAGCAAGTTCTGCTGTTACAAAGTAAGGACAGAGTGTTCAGGACAGATAATGACTCACATGACATGACAGTTGAAAAGTAATACGGATACAAATAAGCCACAACATTGATGTACGTGTTTTTAAATGTATCGTTACGAGGAGATGAAAAGCTCAGGGTATATGAGAATAGATTGTTATAATGACATTTAATGCAACTATCTTATATTTTACTACTATTCGTCATCTATAATCATGGATAATAATGGATACTAATAATTGGAAACATAAGAAATAACCAGTTAGAATATAGAAAAAATGTAACAGGCAGCCTTAGTAAGACCCACATTTAACCTAACCTACATTAAAACACAATTTCAAACCTGTTAAAGTTGTAAAAAAGAAAAGAAAAAGATTCCACGCCATAAGTCAACGTATATTAACATTTTTAGTATACAAATGTAAAAACATATCCCATGCTTCAGATTTACCCATTTTACAGTACAACTGTACACATGCAACAGAAAAGAAATCACTGAAATTCAACAACACAAAGCTTACATGGGCTTTGAGGTGTTTGACAAAATGCATGTATTTGTAGCCCAGATATAACAGTGGCTATAATCAACCTATGTAAACTTGTCACATCTGGCACATTTATACATTACTAAATACAGAATAGTAGTGAACTAAAAAACAAATTTAAAAATTCTGGTATTTGAAGAATATATTCAAATCATTTGTTTTTGCATACATTTTGTCATTCAGTTTTCAATTCACTACAAATAGATGTTCAGTGAATAAACAGCTTAATATGGGGATGTTGCTTGCTAAAAACAGACAGTTATGCTTTCTTCAGAAAACAATTATTGAACATTTGAAACTCCCATAGAAAGTATGGCTTTCAACTTACTGAGACAAATTAAAATTTCAGCTTTGATGTTCAGCACATTACATGTATTTTTTTCAATATTTTGCTAAAACATAACAGTTACAAAAAACCAAAAAAACTTAAATATAACAAAACAACTACAACATTTATGTAAAAGGTTGAGGTCCTGCAGTAAAATGTTGATCAGGTAAGAAGTTAGGTGGTATTATTTGTGAAAGCGGGTAAGAGAAGAGATTGGCTGGGTCAATGGGCAATGGATTTACTGCATGAGTAGGGGGCAACATACCATGCCAGCCAGGGTAGGCTGCTTCTGGATACAATGGAAAAGATGGATATGGGAGACCTGATGGAACAGCATTTGGCACATGGAGAGGTGGCATAATATTAGCACCCTGACTCTCTCCTATAATTCCAGAGAATTCTCCTGGGAACTGAAGGCCATTGCTCAAATTTTGGAGCATATTCATGATCTCAGGCATGCCAACTTCCTCTCCTGTATCCTCAGAATTCTGATTCCACTGCTCAAAATTTGGGAAACCTGGAGGAGGGAGCCCTTGCTCGGCCATTTGTCTCTCCTCTCGTTCCACATCTGCTAATATGTCAGAGAAAATATCATCTGGGATATCCAAACCTTCTTTATGTTTCTTGGAAGATTTTTTGGGATAAGCTGTCCAGGAAGGATGGCTTGGAAGAAGCAAAATCAGAAGCAGAATAGGATGGTTGTCTTCCAAACCTAGATAAAGCAAAAAACATATCTGATTAAATGCACTAAAACTAAAAATCCTTGTGAAAAATAGGAGAAAGAAATTCAGATAACAAGGAGAGAGGCCTGGGTCACAAAGACCCACCTTTCTCAACTCTAAAACTACACAATACATAGAGAATAGTTCATAAGTTGTTTTAATATGTTTCTGCTTTTCATTAATGTCACCTGAGACAAATACTATACTTAGTCAGTCCCCAAATTTATGTATTAGTAAAGAGGAAACTTAAGACAACTGTAAAGCAAATGGAAACTTGAACCAAAGGTCTCAAGTGATGGCCATGCTCGCAAAATATAAGAGCATCCTTGTGGGCAGGTGTATTGTTGTGTTTGTAATGGAAGATTAGTGGCTGGTTCACGCTGTCCCTTTCATGACAATTATAGAAGCCAGGGTTAAAAAAAAGTGGCTTGTTAAAGTCATTCACAAAACAAAGAGTGAAATCATGCTGTTGATACTCTGGATGTCTTAGATCAGGGGTCCTCAAGCTATGGCCCGCAGGTCAGATCTGGCCCGCCCGGCAACTGCAGAACCTGCCGCTGTCTAGCCACAATAGCAATCCCTATGGGCCCTATATCTTCAGGGCCCGGTCAGCGCGCTGCGGCCGTGCAATAGCGCAACCAGGCCTATTTTAAAAATTGCAGCCGCAAGTAGTTTTGGGAGGAGGTGACGACTGGTCACTTCCTCCCAACTCCCTCCACGTGGGATGGAAGAGAGACAGGACGTGAGGATGGGAGAGCCACGCCGACTCCCATCAGCCACGGCCACCCTCCTGCAAAAAAAAGGGTAAAAAAATTTATGTATGTATGTCAGTATGTGTATGTATGTCAGCATGTGTATGTATGTATGTATATGTCTGTATGTCAGCATGTGTGTGTATGTATGTATGTCAGTGTGTGTGTGTGTGTATGTTTTTCTGTGTATGTATGTCTGTATGTATGTATGTATGTGTATGTATTTCAGTATGTCAGTTTGTGTATGTCTGTCTGTCTGTGTGTGTGTGTATATATTTCAGTATGTATGTCTGTGTGTATGTATGTCAGTATGTATGTATGTGTATGCTGCTCTAGTAATCAAGGTTATCATTCATGGTACTTTCACTCACTTTTCTCTAATTTAAAATGAAAAGGCAGGCATCGCACTCAGAGATCCTGGCCACCAAAATATATCACCAAGCTCGGTCCCAGAGAGGGTACCGTCCATCCATCCTCTCTTTTGAACGATCCAAATTAGGAAAGGGCTGCAACAACATGTGGTGCCAATAAAACAAATTAACTATATTTAGACATTTATTAAATTTAAAAGAAACATAGACTTTCTGGCCCGCAGGCATGATTAGGGTATGAAGGACAAAACATGAATTTCCTTTTGATGGAATGCATACCCAAATAGATTCTATTTGATTTTACTGGCACCACATATCCGTTCCTGATTTGTTTTGTATTGCATTTGTAAGTTCAAAGTAATGTTTGTATTTCTTTACAGACAGTAAGATTTAAAAATGTTAATAAGATCAATAGATAATTTAATATATATGTGTTATCTCTAAAACTATTTAGATAATGAGGTAAATTTTATACTAAAAATTCTCTTCAGGGTAGGGATGATGTATTGTTGTACCTGGACCTCCCAAAGGACGCAATCTTTGAGGGATGGGTTGGCCGGCAGGTAGAGGCACTAGGAACGCCTCCATGCCATGACTTCTGATGATTGCATATCTCAGCTTCCGATTAAGATAAGAATACAGCCGAGCATATGAAACTGCATCACTTGACGTTCTTGGATTCAGTCGGATCACACACATGTCCTGCATGAAGAAGTATTTACAATAACTTTTTGTCTGATCACCATATATGTTATAAATTAAAGGCTCTACACTATGCAAACATGACAAAGTCCCATTCCTTTAGGATTTCTCTGTAGTTTCCCAAATTTTTACAGACTGTAACTACTGTATATATATTTTTTTTATTTTGTACCCAGCTGTACCTACGCTTTAGATCCACCCATTAATCTGTACAATGCGTGTACACGGTGGAAAATATTGTCTACAGTGTGCACCGCACTTCCTGTCTAAGACGGTTATCCTCAGTGTTGCAGAGTAACATAGGACTATCAGAGGTGACATACCGTATATACTCGAGTATAAGCCGAGTTTTTCGGCACATTTTTTGTGCTGAAAAACCCCCACTCGGCTTGTACTCGAGTCAAGGTCTGTATTATGGTAACTTACATTGTCATTATACAGACCAGGACCGCCGGGCTCATTACAAGCCCGGCAGTCCTGTTGGGGGCTGACAGCAAGCTGTAACTTACCTTTTCTGCAGCTCCTGTCAGCTCCCTTCTCCTCCATGCAGCTCCCCGGTCAGCTCCGTTCTGCTTACAGTGTAAGTCTCGCGACACCCACGGCCGTCAATGCGTTGCCACGGGTTACCGTGGCAACGCTCCGCGCGGCACACAGACCGCGAGACTTACACTGTGAGCAGAACGGAGCTGACAGGGAAGCTGCACGGAGAAGAAGGGAGCTGACAGGAGCGGCAGGAAAGTTAAGTTGCAGCTCACTGCCAGCCCCCCCACTGAACAGCCAATGCCACTGGACCACCAGGGATTAACATAGCCCCCCTCCCTGGCCAGGCAACAAGCAGGGAGGGGGGACAAAAAAACAATGTAATAAATAATACAAATATTAAAATAAAAATAATAAAAATATTAAAATATAATAATAATAAAATGATAATATAATAATAGTAAAATAATAATGTTAAATTAAAATAATAATATTAAAATAATATTAAAATAATAATATTAAAATTAAAAAATTAAAATAAAAATGCCCTCCCCTCACCCAGTTTACACACACTACACAAACACACACAGTGCATTCACACAAAACACACACTGCATTCACTATATACCGTATTTATCGGCGTAAAACACGCACTTTTTCTCCCTGAAAATAGGGGGCAAATTATGGGTGCGTGTTATACGCCGGCCCTTTAAATGCTGCAGCTGCCTGAGCGCTCTGTCAAGAGCGCTCAGGCGGCTGCAGTTGGTTCTCACCTCCCCTCCCCTGTAGCGTGGCCAAGCTGCTCTGCTGTCCGCCGTGCCCAGCCGGAGTGATAGGAAGGTGCACGCTCAGTGTGCACCTTCCTGTCAGTCCGACCGGGTACAGGAAACAGAAACTCCTGTTCCACGCGGAACAGGAGTTTCGGTTTCCTGTACCCGGTCGGACTGACAGGAAGGACACTGCGTCTGCTACCTATCCTCCTTGGCTTCCTTGGTTCCAACAAACCCTTTCACCGCTACGAAAACAAAGAGAGGAGGGTAAAGAGAGTGGGGAGTAAGAAGAGGGAGGGTAAGAAGGGGGTAAATAGAGGGGAGGGGGTAAAAAGAGGGAGAGTAAGAGAGGGGAAAGGGGAGAAGAGGGGGAGGGGGAGTAAGAGGGGGGTAAGGGGGGAGGGGGAAGTAAGAAGAGGGGGAGGGGGGAGTAAGAAAGGGGGGTAAGAAGAGGGGATGGGGGGAGTAAGAAAGGGGGGTAAGAAGAGGGGGAGGGGGAGTTAGAAGTTCTTTATTTGAAATGTAAGTTTTTTTTCCCTGAAATTTCCTTCTTAAAATGAGGTGCGTGTTATACGCCGGTGCGTGTTATACGCCGATAAATACGGTATATACACACTGCATTCATTATATACACACACACACTGCATTCATTATATACCCACACTGTAAATAAATACTCAATTAATGTAATTTTATTGGGATCTAATTTTATTTAGAAATTTACCAGTAGCTGCTGCATTTCCCACCCTAGGCTTATACTCGAGTCAATAAGTTTTCCCAGTTTTTTGTGGTAAAATTAGGGGCCTCGGCTTATATTCGGGTCGGCTTATACTCGAGTATATACGGTAATTATCCCTGCATTTTACAGTTAAAAACCTGGCTAAATCTGCCTAACACATCTTCCTTGCTCCAGTAACCAAAGCTTAGAAACGAATAGACTGTGAAAAAACATCTCTCAGAAAAGTTCCTTTTTCACTCAAAGAAGAAATACTTATGCTACTTGTTTGCCCAATTATATAATTGGAGTGCCTAAAAGTTACTCAAGCTACCCAATCGGCAATGTCATCTTCATGGGTCTTTGCAAAATATGCAAAGACCCCAGAAGTTGTCAGAGCCACTTTAACAATAGCAATGCTTTACAGTTGCTGCCTTCAGAACGTCTCTATCAGCAGTTTTTAAATAGACAACAAGCATTAAATGTACCTTCTGCTAATATATACATTCTCGTTGCCTTAGACCCCAAAAGACTTTAGATAGACTCAACTGCCAATATCTCCACTCAGTTCTTTTTAAATTTGAATTACCAGATTTCTTCTTAAAAGCTAGCCCTCAATTCTAGATTTTCAGAGAGAATCTTTAACTCAGGATAGATTTGATATAACCAATGGGGCTAGGCAGCAGGGCTACCCCCTCTACCCATTAATTTTTATTCTGAAACTACAACCGTTGGTTTTAAAACTTAAAGGTACACTATAGTCACCTGAACAACTACAGCTTAATTTAGTTGTTCAGGTGAGATCTATAGCTCCCTGTAGGCAATCAAATGTAAACACTGTATTTTCACACAGACGGCCACCAGAGGGACTTCCTATCATGCAGGGCCCTAAAAAGGCCATGTACATGTCAGACGTATTAAAATACGTCTGACGTGTGCAGGAGAGAGAAGGCACTGTGTGCGCACCTTCTCTCTCCTGCCTGTCAGCAGAGGAGAGGGGGCAGGCAAAGGCCGCAAGCTGAGCTGTGAGTCAGCTCGCGGCCGCACACACCGCGCGCATGCTCGGTAGTGCGCTCAGGACTTCATTGGGCGGCATGAATGCCGCCCTATGAAGTATGTGCACATGTGCGGCGAAGCCACACATGCGCATAAGGGAGAAATGACGCTTCCCAATGGAAGCGTCTGATTGCTCCCTGCTCGCGCCCGCCTATTTCGTCATTTTGATGAAATAGGGGGTGCGGCTTCACAAGGCTCCTGGCACTGGAACGAGGTGAGTAAAAAGGGCTGCCTGGAGTGTCCCTTTAAACAGCCCTATTAATTTAAGGTATCCCCACCCCAATTGACAAACAACTAATTTCGTTTTTTGCTGGCAATATCCTACTCATCTTAACCAACCACAAAACATCACTCCCAGCTATTGTTTCTTATAATTATTATGGTAATTTTTTTAAATACAAAACATATAATGCAAAAACACAGGTTTTTCTATTTGACCTGTCCCAGACTATCTCCATTCTTCAAGCTTTTCACCCCTTTGATTGGCGCACAATGTACCTCTCCTGTTATGGTAACACTGCATTCACATTTTCTCTTCCAATCAAATCATGAGAGTCTGCTAACCAAACTTCAGCGTTTAGTTGCAGAGTGGCTCGTGGTTACATTCATTCTATCAAAATGAGTGTCCTCTCTTTGACCTTCTAACTGTTCCTTACATTGCCCGTCCTATCCAAGACTCTCCTTCAACGCTATAATGCATTCTCAATTATACATCTAGAAGAAAAGATCACCACATATTACCATTGGTGTCCTTAGAAGACAAGTGTGTTGGGCACAAAGGATTAGCCTGAACCCGTTGGTGATGTGTTACAAAATGAACCAAGAGTTTACTACACCACTCAAATTCTCTTATATCTCTAAATGGGAGACAGAATTTCAAAATCCATTTACAGCAAAACAATGGAAGAGAGCTTTCTCCCAAATCAAACAAGCTACTCACTGTATTGACCACCTAGAAACGACCAACAAGTTGTAAATGAGGTGGTATTTCAACCCCCCAGTGACCAGCACATTTATACCCTGAAACCTCTCCTAACTGTTGGAGATGTGGAATGCAGACTGGCATTCTGAGCAATATTTTCTGGTAAAACTAAGTTCGTTCTTGGACCAAATCAGGGGCTTAATCCATAATATATCAGGGACAAAGTTGCCCCACCATCCCGAAGTCTACCTCCTACACTTTCACGCTCGTTGCCCTGTACTACATTTCCCATGGAGCTTTGCCCCAATCATATGATACTCATTTTATATATTTTATATATTTTTGAAATATAATCCTCGTTATTTATATATAAATATATTATATGGTACGTACAAGTCTTGCCTATACAATTGCAAAGATTTAACTTGTTTCAATCATGTTTTAAATATTTGTTTTAATACTGGTTTGTAATTGGTGGAACCGTTTTTTGGCGCCAATTTCAATCACTGTATATTCTTATAAATACTGTTTCATGCCAGGTATATTGTTTTACTACCATTTTGATAAAGCCTTAAAGGTGAAACGCGTTAATGGTTTTAAATTGTGTATTTTATAACAATAAAAGTTTTTTTGGTTACCTTTTTAATAGGACCAATCTTCTACTTATTTTATTATATTTTATATACACTTTTATTGTTATTCTTCCTGGCATTTTTATTTTATTTTATTGTATCCTGATTCAAGAAATCCATAGGTGGGGATAATTCCACCAGTGCTGTGTCAATAGAGCAGTATTTCCTGTTCTACACTTGTGAGTATATTTTATTTGATCTATTTTATTTATTTTCCAATTGAGAGCACTATTGCTGTTTTTTATATATATATATTGTGGAGTACGACGTAACCAAGGCCGGACCGACGGACTCACTTCTCCAGTATATCCTTTAGCAGGGATCATACCGCTAAACGCCCTCCATCCTAGAGCTGGCCTAAGCTCCTCCAAATGTGAGTGTATTATCCTCCCTTTTACTTATTCTACCTTTGGATCCACAATATTTCACCATTGGCAGTTTGTCGTGTTTTTATTTTTTGTCTTCACATATACGGATTATTCACAACCCGGACGGATCAACTCCTGCGGATTGTACACATACTCTATGCAAAAATATCAGTGAGACGTTTTAATGATTTTTATTCTATTGAACATTTTACTACTTGGATGGACTTTGTTTTACTCTACTTTCTGTTGTGTCAATAGAGACTCTTTTTTATCTATTACACAGGCTTACTTATTATTGTCTATTCATTTAGGCCATTTGGTCTGATTCTATCTGTATTAATCACTGTATCTTAGCGCAGCCCTTACCTCTATTTTTTATTTCTAATACCACCAATTATAAGCCCACTGCTGGACACCAGTTTGGTGGTGCATATGTGTCGTAAATGGGTGTTTAAAATGATATTCACCTGTACTTATCTGTACTCTGCTCCAATCATTTCCTTGCAATTTCATACTACAGACTTGGATCTGAGGGCCTGACTTCAATCAGGCATCATGACAGCGCGAAACGTATTCCAAAAAAAAAGCATTCTCCCTTTTTAAGAGTAAGCATCCCAACATGACTTGCCCAGTAATGACATTCTTACCAAACTCAGAATTATGCATATACTTCTATTTCATCACATTAAGATGCTTGACAAGCCAAAACTTTTCTACAAACTTTGCTATGGACCCCCATGCACTTTAAAGCCTTGTCCACCTGTTATCAAGCAATGCTCAATTTGGACTCACACCATAAGCCTTCCTTTAAACTGAAATGGGAGAATGATCTCAAACAAGCATTTCCCCTATCTGAATAGGACAAAGTGCTGGCCGCTTTGAGAGGTGTTTTTAAGTGTATTTACTACTGGAAAACTACTTGGAAATTGTGGTTCAGGTGGTCCCTGACTCCAGTGCAATTAGTGTACATCTCTCTATCTTCCTCTAATAGATGCTGGCGATGCATCACAGATAAGGGTTCCATACTCTATGTATTTTTGGACTGCCAACTTCTTCAAGTCTTTTAGTCAGCAATTTAGTCGCTTATCCAACAGATTACTGGTGAACATTTGCTTCTACAAGTCCAGGGGTGAAATACTATATCACGCCACACAAATCCTTAATAAAATAATTAATGTTCTTTCTAACTGTACCTAAAAATATAACTGCAAAGCACTGGAAGTCCACCACTACACCCTCAGTCTCCCTCTTGACTCAAGCACTGCAATCTACTAGACTGAATAAGGAGATGGCCTACAGGAACCTGGGTACTCTGCCTAACTTTGTTAGGGTATAGTCAAGACTACTATAAGAATACAATGCACAGGAAGCCTAAAGTCCAGTGAGTCACACTGGTCTTTTTCCTCTCTTTTTCTTTCCCTACTTCCTATTCACCTTCTTAACATCCGTCATTTTAGAATAAGTTTAAACTTCAAGACGTCCAGTTCATGCTTGCACAATCTGTACTGTCAACTGTGTTATGTACACCACTGTCTTAACTTTGTCGTTGTATCCTTTTAAAAAACCTTCAATAAAAAATAAAATCAAAATAAAGGAATTTTTACAGCATGAATTATTTGGAAAAACTGTAAGTTCCTAGGCTTGGAGACATTCAGTAAAAGTCCTCCCTGAAAGATTTGCGTTATAAATCCATAACACATCTATATTTTACAACTTTAAATGGAGAGCATATTAGGTTTCAATTCTCAAAAGTGGTATTAAGTTTGCAGTATGACAATCTGAGAGGCCATAAGGAAAAAAACCTCATGGTAATTCAACACTTTGTTAACATAGATGCTTTATACAAAGTAAAAAGGATGATGATCAAAAGTGTGACAGCAAACATAGAAAATTTTAGTTCAAAATTAATCAAGATCACATGATATATAACTGATGCTTTTTAGCACTTCCTTTTTACTTATTAATATGTGTATATATAATATAAAATATTATAACAGCCTTTAAAGCACCTATGTGACTTCTTCGAACCTCACACAATATGTAGTGCAAACAAAACTTGGTAGAGAGCAGAGTGTGGCTTAATCAAATGTCAAGTCTACAGCAAGGAGAAAAAACACACCTCAGATTATATAAATATATGCACTATGCTATAAGTATCCTGTAAGTGCTACATAGAATTGCATTATTATTTGACAAGTTTGCTCTACTGATGTCATTTATCTTTATACATGTCTGTGTCTGTGATTAAGGAAAGTTAGAATACAATCAGTTTCCATTTAGTGAGAAAATTCTTGTGTACTGTACTTCTAGATAAAATCCAGAATTGGAATTAAGCTCTGCTCTATAAGAGTTTCATTTCTAGGCATAGTATTATTTATACTTCTTCATATATCACTTTTATGAGTAGAAAAGATGAAATCACAATAAAGAAGAGGATGGTTGGCATTAAACCAATTCACAAGTACTCTAACTGGTGTTAGTGTCCATGTTTGATCCTGTACATTACACTATGAGTTGTCCATATAATTATTACCATTGGCAACACATTTAAAGGAACAGTGTAGCATTATTAATACAAATGTGTATTCCTAATATTATAGTGTACTTGTCACCAGATAGTTTTCTTAAATGTTTTCACACTCAGCACTGTTCTCCGTGGTTGCCCCATCTCCTCGGCTGAGTACATCAGTCTTGATGACCCAAGAAAACCCAAAGGCACCTATCCTCCCTCCAGCAATCGTTAAAGATGCAGCTTATTTACGTTTTTGTCACACACAGCACTGCTTTCTTCGTGCAGCAAAATGCCATGCTGCGCCAAATCAGATGGTCACTATGAGATAATCTGATGGAAATTGCAAAAACATGGACCACAAATGGTCCAACATTAAACAAGGAATTACAAATTTCAAACCAAAACAGCCAATACAGTATCTTCGTAATATAGAAAAAAACCACAAATTAAATTTTATTTAATTCTGAAAGACAGCAGTGATAGGCTAATCTTGCTGATAGATGACAGTAATAATTAATATTGCATGAGTGTATCTTTCGCATTAGCAATATGACGAGGAAGGGGCTATGGAGTAGGTGGATTAATTATCCCTGGTTTTTTTGTAAAACTAAAGCACAGTTTGACACAGAACTAGGAGATGGTGCCCACAACCAACTAGCATAATTACCACTACACTGCCATCTTAAAATTGCCACTCTGCTGCATCACATATAGGGAAAGTTTAGAGATAGCTGAGCATAAGTATAATGTAGTTGAGGTAACTAGGTAGTGAATTAGCTCATGGACCACAGAAGGCTGTTAGTAGAATACTAACAGCTTTTCCTATGGTAATTCAGTCCCAAACAAATGGATGATCTTCAAGCGCATCCTGAATCTTTCACAAGACGATAAAATGACCAACCCAATATACGATGCTGTATGTTTACATAATATTAAGCACTGCAGGTCCCCTCTCCCTCCCACCACCCATCCCCAGTTGCTGAAGGGGTGAAAACCCCTTCAGTGACTTACCTGAGACCCCCGCCGATATCCCGCGGTGGTTTCGGGTCACCGCCGCTTCTCCCCTTCATCACGTCAGCCGGCGGGGGAGACTGATCCCGCCTGCCGGCTGAGGAGACCTAATGCTAATGCTTTCCTATGGGGAATTGGGTGACGCTGGAGGTCCTCACACCTGTGCTATGAAGCAGGAAGTGCCCTCTAGTGGCTGTCTAGTAGACAGTCACTAGAGGAGGAGTTAACCCTGCAAGGTAATTATTGCAGTTTATGAAAACTGCAATAATTACAGTTGCAGGGTTAAGGGTAGTGGGAGTTGGCACCCAGACCACTCCAATGGGCAGAAGTGGTCTGGGTGCCTGGAGTGTCCCTTTAAGCTACTGATATGTCACAAGGTGATCATTTCAAAAAACTGATAACTTTGTGATACCAACATGAAGGCTTTGTATGGATGCTATGAATTAGATGTGTAAAGGAGCAGTTTGAAAGAACTTTGAAACATTTTATTAAAAATGTTGTTCCATGATACATTCAAATGATCCTTAAAAGCAATTCAATTATCTGTTATCAATTCACAATTCTTTGCAAAAGGACTGACAAGGAACAACAAATGTTTAATGAGTTCAAGGATGAGCCGCACTTGTGACTGAATTAACTATTTATAAACTCTTAGAGGGCAGCTGTATATTTAACAGGTTAAATTATCAATAATACAGAGAAGATATGTGGCTTAATGGCAGTGCTATATGTAAGAATGTACATCTTCTAACGTACCATCTCAGTCACTTATAAAATATGGATAGATTCTTGAAAATATTTATGTTTTAGGTCAGTAGAGATGACTGAAATGTAGATGGTTAATAGAGAAATGAAGGATAAAATTTTTATCCGGATTGTACAGGATAAATAAATAAAAAATGTTATTTAAAAAAAGTCACCATAAAAACAATATAGTAAAAAAATAGTAATAACAAATAGGTTATCCATGATCTGACACGTGGAGATTGAAAACCATGAACTGATAAGCCATGGTGCCAGAGAATGATGTAATGTCTTGAAGCTATCTGACTAAATGAAAGGAGAGAACAATAAATACCTATGTAGTATATATCGGTACAGTCAAAACAGAGTTGCCATAAGCAAATACAAAAATGTTGCTAGCCTCCACTGGTCAATGACTAAAAAGCAACGGATAATCCATGAAAAATCACATACATTTCTGTTACAAAATGAGCCAAGTAGATGAAGAACAAAGGTATTTAGTTGTGTAGCAAAAGGATGACTGTCACAATCAGCACTTGAATTGTCAAACGTACTCAGTTTGATAAATACAGCCTTCTTAGGCACCTTCATGTGGACTTGTCAACCAGTACCAGCAGGTGGTGATTCCACAATACAGAGCGTCACCCACCACGATTCCCATGATGGCTTTTCGATGGAGAGCATATACAGTCATAGCTCTATTTAATCACAGGTATGCATTATTATGCTCATTTACCCTATTTCATATATATTTATACACATATGCAGGCACTGTAGTCACTATAACCATTTTATCTCATTTAATTGGTTATAATGCTTGGAATCCCCTGGCTCTGTCCCTCTATTCAGTGTTAAACCATTTTTGAGCAGTTTAATACTAAATAAGATATCCTGGCCAACCACGGCCAAGCTAAGGCAGAGATTAAACACTGCTTTCTATCAATACCAATTTGTATCAGCAGTAAGCGCTATGGCATGATGAATGCGGTCAGCTGACACTCTCAACCAATCACAGCCACCCATTGCTGCTTAGGCTAATGCTCTCTCATTAACTCAGGTGGCACAGTTTTTATACATGTTTTAATTCAAACATTAGAAATGATGGTGCCACAGGATTCCAGACACAATAATCACTTTAAAGAAATTAAGCAGTTACAGCAGTTTTTCACAAACAGTCCATGATTTAAGTATTTCCCTTTTTTTATTCCAGTGGAGACACTGACAAAACCTGGAACCATTGAATTACAGTGTTTAGTGTACTTTCAATTGTTTTTTTTTCCCCCCAAAATATTGTTTTCCACAACTCTTTACTTTCCAACCATCTTTATCAATTTCATACTTTGTCCTGTCCTATATTTCCCTTTCGTTCTTTTCTCTACCTTTGATATAAACTTTAGTATAAATCTGCTCAGTAATGTCACTGTTTACAGAAGTATAAAAAAATTATTCAAAAATATTGATGAGTCTAGTAAATAAGTTAGTATCATTATGAATCATTATTTATTAAAATCAATATAATTTGGCGCATTATTTTTTACCATGTGTCAGTAACTGGTTCAAGGCTCCATTCCCCTGTCAAGGAAGCCATTTAAATGCTTTTGTTTACTAAACTATAGACATTACCAAAAGGCTACTTCATTTTCACTGTTATTCCTCACCTTGGTGCACTCTGGCCAGATACGATCCACATATTCCCAAACAGACTCTGGCAAAATGCACCCTTCGGATGTTAAGACTTTTGGTAAATCCTATAAAATGCACATAGGAAATGGTTAAAAAAATATATAAAACAAAACTTGGATATAGTTCAAACAATACAAGGTATTTTAAAGACAAACAACATTATATATAAATTATAGCAAGATGAATGTCGTGTAAAGATAAAAGGTAGAAAGAAGCGCACACAAAAGTTTAATGGAAGTTCAAATTAGGAGCCAGGAGTTGGATTCAAATCAGGAGCCAGGAGTATAGATGCCATAGCCTATATAAATGGCTTTATGTGCATTTGAATGTTTATCAGCACCTGAGGAAGACCATATGTCTATGGTTAAAATGCATGTGCACTTTATTTTGTTTTAAAAAGCAATACATTTATTTTATATACATCTCCAACTCCTGGCTCCTGATTTGAACTTCCATTATACTGGATAGCTATCAACTGGAGAATCCATTTAAAGGAGAAGACCATCTATGTCCTTGGGAAAGGCATACGCGCTGTATAAGTCTAGAGCCTACATTTAATTGGCTCAGAAAATTGTGAGTGGTTTCAGCTTAAAGACATCCACTTTACTTTGTTTTATATACAGATTAGACTATGTTTTGCTGTTTGTTTGTATTTTTGTATAGGTAATCTGTATCCCTTGCATGTATATAAGAAAAACTACTATCAGTTACCATAATTGGACATAAATTCCAGGTAATTAGTGTATATTTTGTGTGCGCTTTTACCTTTTATCTTTACACTATATCTTGGTTTTTGAGTGTATGTGGTGAAGATATACTCGGGTAATTTAGCAGCACCGTATATTTGTTTCCTTGAGCACCACCTATACAATTTGTATCAAGATGAATGTCCTGTTCATCACAGGGTTGCTTACCTAACTATCAAGACATGTAACTAATAACTAAAGTTTTTTTTTTTTTTTTGTTGAATACCATGTTGTAGGCTATGTATAAAAAAAAAAACATTCAAAACACACCAATGTGTGTAGAGGGACACCATTGTGTTACGTTTTAAAACAGATCACATAGAACTAACCTGGCAAAGATGACTGCTATAACCAGACACTGGCATGGCTGTAACTTTAAACTGCTTTATAGAGAACATGTGAAGGAATCCCTTCCACACACTTGAGTCTGCTGGATCTGTGAGTCTAGTATCTGGATCATACCTGAAAAGGAAAGGGACTTATATTTTGAAACTGATGATTGTACACTGATCTTCATCAGCTACCAACACTTCTGTAGATTAAAGGGACACTAGTGTCACCAAAACAACTAATGAAGCTGTTTAAGTGTATAGATCACGCTCCTGCAGAGTTAAATTACTTTTGTTTCTGTGTATGCAGCCCTAGCCACACCTACCCTGGCTGTGACTGACACAGCCTGCATTAAAAAAATGGTTTCACTTTCAATCAGATATTACTTACTTAAATAGTTTTTATCTCCTGCTCTGTATATTAAACTTTAATCGCACACTGGAGAGTCTACCAAAGTCTAGCAAGCTATTAACAGAACAGGAGATAATAAATTCTAAATTAAACAGGATGTGCAATAAAGTAAGTATAAACATTAGATGACTCTTTAAAGGAAGTGTTTAGAAAGGTTGTGCAAATCACATGCAAGGAGGTGTGACTGGGTCTGTATAAACAAAGTGCCTTTACTCCTAATAGGCAAAGAATTGAACAGTGAGACCTCAGGGACATTATCTGCACACCAAAACTGCTTAATTAAGCTGAAGTTGTTTTGGTGACTATAGTGTCCCTTTAAAGCAAAACTCCAAACCCCGAAAGCACTTAATGTCTGCTGAAATTCTTTGTGGTTTAACAGAATGGCCCCTCTTTCACACTTTATTAAAATGATGATTTAAAGAGAAGTATCTCTTTTATAAAGTGCCTAAGAGCTGTTATACAGGGTCTACAGTCACAAAACACAGTAAGCCTTACCCCCCATTTAAAAAAATAAAAATAAAAAATAGGTAGAAATAACAAAACTTAAAAATCCGACTTGATAAAGCATCAAGGCCAAGTTCTTCCTGCATGCAATCCTCCTCCAATGACATCACTCACCATAGCTAGCAAGGGAAAAGATGTAGGGGGAGGAAAGGCTGAGGGTGGTTGTATGCTGTTTTTGGATGTCTGTCACCAGCATGATGATGTCAGACATTCAGTATGCACAAAACTAACATAAGCCACCAGGAACTCTTGCTACAGGCTGGCTAATGATGTTCCAATGATGAGCTGGAAGTAGAGTTACACTTCTGGCAGCAGAGGGGTTAAACTCTGTTTGTGTAGCGTTTCATAGTGTTCACTGCACATAGACACTCCAGGCACCATGACCAGTTCAAATCACTGAAGCGGGTATGGTGCTTGGAGTAACCCTTTAACAATTTGTTACTGTTTCAAGGTAAATTAAAATATAATAAATTTGTATATTTGTTAGATGCTTGGCCAGTACAAGGTGCAATTGATTTAAAATAGAAAATCGCTGACTTAAGAGAAACAATTTTTTGTATCACGAGTCCCTTTAAACTGGGAATGGTAAGATCAAGTTAATACTCAACAATTTCTTGTTCTTCTTTTCAATGCATGAAGAATGTTGATTGCCATCAGTTATATGGTGTTTCCATATTTTCTCTGGTTTCTTGGTAATTACCCATTGGCTTAAGTCAGCATCACCTGGGGGGTTTATCAGCCCTAAAATATAGTAAGAAAACAATTGAAAAGTTGGTGAAATAAGAGCTCTATAACCGTTTCTCTCGCCCTATGTTGTGTAACTGTCATTAAAGACAAAACTAAAATTAACAGATTACAATAAATACAGCAGAAAGATGGAGTGGGGTAAACAGAGGAAGGTGCGAGATATTTGAGAAAAAAAAGAAAGGAGCCTTATGGGTATAGGGAGGATGAGACAGCAGGCTTAAATAAAAAAGGGAAAGAGGGAGGAAGGGGAGATAAACACTGCCAGCATGAGAAAATCTCATTATGTCTGTCACCAGCATGATGTGTGCGCTGACGACAGATGTAATTTTTGCAAAGATTTGACATTAGGCAGTCTGGACATTCTGGGCTGCCATAGTTACCTGTTTAGGGGGTAAAATTAGCCCTGGCTTAAACAATGCAAATATCTCTGGATGTGCAGCATTTATAAAAGCAGAAATGATCATGGTGGTTGAAGTAACCCTTTAAGTCCAAAACAGCTGAAATGGAAAAATAAGTCAGTTGTGCTTCTATTTTAGCTCAAAATCTTAAAGTCACTTTAAATCCTCACTTTAGTGAATAACACTGGTAGTTTTAATTATGCTTTGCATGGTTATTCACAAAAGTATGAATTCAGAGTGAATTCAAGGTGAATTTCAAATTTAAGGCTAAAGTAGCCAAACTAGAAGCCTGGCTGACTTTTTTCCAATTCAGCTATTTTGACCTTAAGTTCTTAAATTCCCTTTGAATTCTCACTTAGCAAATAACCTTGTTAGTGATTCACTTAATCAGCACTGATCAATTAATGGTTGTGCAGAATGCCAGCATGTATTATTTATCTATACAACCGCTTACATCTGCAGATGTAGTAAACACATAGGACAAAAACTCAGCTAGCTTGCCCATCGGTTAGTCTCTTAAGTCTTAAGCAGCAACTAAACAAAGGGAAATCAAATAGAGTTTTTGTTTACTTTTCTAACTTGGCTGAAATGTATATGCAGGGGTCTACTAAATCTATTTACACACTGAACAAGGTCGCAGAAGAATTACTGTTAACAAATAACTGTGCATTTTAATTTTTATTTAATGCATATTTTTATTGCCAAACAGGGAACATAAGGCATACAAGAGGAGAGTATAAAAGTGCAGGATATATAACACATCATGGCAGTGCATAGAGTAATAAGTAATAAAACATTTTGGTCAATATGCCATTCACAGGATTAGCATTTAATTTGTAGTTACAAAAAGAAGGGGAAAAACAAGGAAACAAGAAAAATTTAAATAAGGAGAACAGAAGGGTGAAGAAAGCGAGAGTGAGAGAGGTGTGGAAGAGAAAAGTAGGAAGACGAGAAAATAGTAGCCCATAGGCTACTATCATGTAGATTTATGGAAGAATTCATCCCATGGTTCCCAGATCCTCCAGAAGTTTAGCACAATTTTCTTAATTTGCTGCGTACACTATAAGGCTGAAATAAGTAAGGTCGTTGGGGGGAGGGTTGTTTTTCTACTGTTTGGCTACATTATTTTTGGTATCAGTGAGAAAGTGTAGAACTTGATTTTTCTTTAAACCAGATAAGTGGTGGCGGGGAATATCCAGTAAAAAAAATGTTCGTTTGTAGTGGAAGAATGAACTTAATGTACATTTTATTTTAATCAAGTTAATGTAATATTGTTTGAAGTCCACACGTTTCACTTATTTTATGAAGAAATGTTGGGCCATATGGCAGTGAAAAAATATAATTGTAAAGTGCTATCAAGTATACTGAATTGCCTCTCTAAATTCAAAGTGGTAATGTAAACAAGTGTGAAAAAGTGTCACTTGCAAAATACTGAGCAATACATAAGCAGTGCTATCAATACCTAAAAAGTGCAACTGCAATTCAAGTGGGCTATATTTACCTTCTCTCCAGATAGTCCCCATCTTTAGAGTCCTGTGAATCTCTGGTTTCTTCTTCAGTGAGATTTGGTCCTGACTTTAGGTATGGATGGAGCAAAGTTCTTTCAAAGAACTTGAAGAGTCACATGTGTGCACACAAAGCTTGACGCGTTTCATCTGTACTTACAGACTTTCTCTAGCGCTGTAATTCCCCTTCTATCTAGCTTCTATATAATGTCTTCTACTAATAGATGACAGTATAAAGAAGAGGCTAGAGGGACACTAATAGAATCCTTTTCTTTATTCCATCTTCTATTAGTGTCCCTCTATCCTCTTCTTTACACCACCTTCTATTGGTGTCCATCTATCCTCTTCTTTACACCATCTTCTATTAGTAGAAGACGGTATAAAGAATAGGATAGATGGAAGTGGAATTACAGTTCATGAGAAAGTCTGCGATACAGATGAAACACTTTGAGCCTTGTATGCTTACAGAACCCAGGGTGAAGATGTATTCACTTATTATTCATAGTGGACTACTTACTGCTCATGTCTTTAGTAGACTAGGTCCTCTACCTACATTTAGCCAGCAGCTAATTCCTTCCTTGTTGGAATAGTGGAATCCTTATTTGGTGATTCAGGATTATTTCTCTCTAGCTCTCTCTACTGACATTTGTCTTACTATAAATGGTACTTTTTTCTTTTTATACTTTTGTAGTTATCTCTTTAAAAAAAAATCTAACTGCTGAAGATTGTGATATACAAATAATAAGACAATTGTATATTCCTCTTGTGTATAAACTATTTCAGTTCTGCAATTTTTGGTCTAAAGAACCAAAGAAAAGGATAGATATATATCTAAGGAAAACAGAGAGATGAGGAGGGAAAACAAAAACTAATAAAGAAAGGTAGGTGTGGTCCTATTCTTTAGAACAATGGGCTATGTAGCATTGTTTTAAATTTGGGAAGTTAGAGTCAGCACACCAATGTTGACAGCATGCCAACTGTTGTAGACGTCAACCGTCTTGAAGGAAATAGGAGGAATTAATTATCATGAGTGGTGTCTAGGGTAGTTAGTCCTAAGAAACAAAAAAACGCAGATTGTCAAAAGTGATCCCAAATGACCCACGGAAGGGCATTGAATGGGCCCAAGCTGTTATAGTAGGCAATTAGCTCAACTGACCAGATTTTCTGCACTCTGCATGCTCATTCTTGTATTGCTTGAAAGATTATGATCTCTTCTATGAGTCGATATAAAATGTCATAAATGCTGCAATAGAGTGCCTCAACAAGGATATTTTGTACTGGAGCAAAATCATAATCACAAAACTTAAGAAAGGTATCACCTAGTCTGAAATAGTCTCACCTTTGCATATAAGGCAGTTCTGATCTAGAAGGTGGCTCTTGTGTTGGGATGTTGTGTCCATTTTCTCTGAGATGCAATCCTGCTGAGAATCCTGAGGCTGCCACACAGAATCCTAAAACAGAATGAAACCTATGCTCTAAACGTCATTGCCCAATGTAAATGCTACTTATTGTGGTAACACAACACTGCAAGCATAGTGTGTAAAACTGTAAGTCATGTGACTGAGATAAAATTTAAACGGACACGTTATACAAGATTATGCCATTTGTTTTTAAAGGCAGCCTACTATAGAAATGGGCAAGTTTGCAAATCATGTGGAACTTAAACCCATTTAATTACTCGCTTTTCTTTAATGGCCAGGTGGCAAAATAATATCTTCAAAAATTTAATAGAGAGAAAGACATGTCCAGAATGTTCAGATAATCGTAATAAATATATTTAAAAAAAACAGATTTTCTCACCCCTTCAGGATGGTATGTTTATTCCTCAATCTCAGGTCCTCTACCAGAGGCCTGGGAGTTTGAGGGTTCTGGCAGTATCTTAGCTGTTCCTAGAACTGCCCTCTTCTGGACAGCGATCTCAGATATCCCACCTGGAATCTGTTGAAGACACTCCCCCAACTTGGGAGTCACATCCCGAGTGCTCCTATCACAACTGGGACTACTTCTGTCTTCACTTTCCACATCCTTTCTAGTTCTTCTTTCAGTCCTTCTTTCTGATGTTATAGTCACTGGTTATTGCCATATCCACCACGACTGCAGTCTTCCGTTCCCTGTCTACCACCACAATGTCGGGTTGGTTGGCCAGCACTTGCTTGTCTGTCTGGATCCTGAAGTTCCACAGGATCTTAGCCTTGCCATTCTCAACTACCCTTTGTGGTATCTCTTATCTGGACTTAGGCACGTCCAATCCATATTCTGTGCAGATGTATCGGTACACAATCCCAGCAATTTGGTTGTGTCTCTCTGTGTATGGTGTTCCTGCTAGCATCTTGCATCCGGCTACTAGGTGCTGGACTGTTTTAGAGGCACCTTGGATCTTGCCTGGTGTGGTAGACTCCAGCTTCTATTGATCTGGTGCTGAGTGCCTGTTCCTGTGCTGCTAGGATTAGTGTCTCAGTGCTGTCTTTCAATCCTGCATTTCTCAACCACTGGTAGGATTTTGTCATGTAAGCCACATACAGGGCCGGTGCAATGATTTTTTAGCTACATAAACGAAGATGCATTTTGCTGCCCCCTTCTCCCCCCCACCCTCAAAAAAAAAGTGCATCTTCACCTGTGTGTCTTGTAACCCCCCCTTTTGACATTCTTACCCTCTTTAATGTTTCATATCGTCTCTTTTGAATGTATGACCCCTTTTGTGCTTTAGTGTATTTTATTCCCTCTTTAGTGTGTCTTACAACCTCCTTTGTATGTCTCTTACTTACACCCAGCCCCTTTCTTTGTTTTGTTTTTTATCCACCACAGTCCCTCTATGTGGCTCTTTCTCCCCTTAGTCCATTTTGTGTGTCCCTCCCTTCCCTTTGTGTGTTTTTTCTTCCAAGCCATGTAAACATAGATATGCAGGCAAAAATACAAACATACTTACACAATCATAGAGGCACGCAGGCACTGTTTTTCAGGCACACAATCAAATAAAGTCATACAGGTACACTGTCATACAAACACAGACATGATCATACAGAGACATACAGACACAGAGAGACACAGGCAGAGACATACAGTCACACAGAGACATACAGACAGTCACACAGAGACATACAGACACAGTCACACGGAGACATACAGACACAGTAACACGGAGATATACAGGCAGAGACCTACACGAATACAGAGACATGCAGGCATACAGTCATACAGACACATACATACAAAAACATAAAGGCATGCAGACACATACATACAGGCATACATATACACACATACATACATACGTACATACAGGCACATACGTACATACAGAGGCATACATACATACAGGCTCACAGAGACAGAGACATACATGCACACAGAGACATACATGCATATATTCTTACAGAGACATACATACATATTGAGACATACGTACATACATATTGAGACATAAATACAGACATAGATGCACACAGAGACATACATACATGCACACAGACATACATACATACATGCACACAGAGACATACATACATATATATATATATGCACACACAGACAGTCACAATTACATACCTACTGTACATACAGGTCCTTGAGGTGCATGCTGTCCGGCTCTGTGGACTCCTGTTTTGCTGCCCAGCCTCATCACAGGGCGCCAGCCAGCTGTGTGGTACACAGGAAGCAGGGATATGATGTCATTCATATCCCGACCCCCTCCACACAGCTTGCGGCAGACGCCAGTGAAGGAGGCTTGCGCTCGGCCACACCTCATAAAGTAACCGGCTGGATGAGAGCGCACAGCGCTTCCCTCCTGCCGGACAGCCTGACATTGCGCCCCCAGGGCCGGTGCGCCCTAAGGTGGCCGCTTTATGGTAGTGCCGGCCCTGGCCACATCCACTATCTGCCAGTGGTACACCCCATGGAGAGGTTTGTCTTGCCAAGGAACCTCCTCTTTCTGTTGAAGTCTCAGGCATTCCCTTAGCAGTTCATCTTTGGGAGCCATCTTTCAAAATGTAGTCTGCCTGTGGTTGGGATATTCTGAATGCTCTGATGGAATATATCAGTCATTTTCTAGTAAAATGATTCAAAACCAAGGAATATGGTTTTGCAGTTGTAGAAAAAAAAAACAACAACAATAAAACATAAAATAATAACCATGACTTGACCAAACAAATACAAATTGGTATCTAATGAAATTCAGTCAGAGATATTGTAATGTAAATATTAAAAAATCACCATTACTACATTCTAAGAGAAAGTTACAGTTATGAATTTAACAAAATGACTGTTTCATTAATAATTTAGGACAAAAACAAGCAATCACATAAGTGCAACTTGAATGAATCTATGCAGTAACAGACAGCAATGCAGTTAAACTCACAGACAGATCCTCTAGGGTCAAGTTCTGATCGGGCATAGTATCAATTTCAATTAACCCCTTGTGTGTCAGCTTTGTCATCTGAATCTGGTATGGCTGTCTTTCCTCTTTCTCGATTAGCTCCAGTGCCTGAAATTACAAGAAGGAAACTAAGCATTTGAATCTTCCACTTATAGAGCAAACAAGTGGATCTAGTTACTCATAACTTATTGGGCCATTATCCAATAAATATGACTAAAAATTATCATAAATATATATTAGACCTACTTGTAGCACAACTGAGCAATGATCTTCAATCTTAAAGTTTATCTGATCCCATCCTACTTAGATCAAAGTAATGCCTTCTGGTTTTAAAACTGAGTCAATGGGGATTCCACATAACGAAATATCACGAGTTGTTTGGTAAGTATGCACATGACATTCAACAATATTTACATACACAACTTGGCCTTTATTGACAAATTCTACAGCTCCATATAGTACATAACACTATCATGTTGAACATGAGTTGTAAACCTAAATATTATTACATTTCACACTCACATGTTTTCTCTCTTGAATTCTCCAGTTGGCCAGCTCCTGTGCAGCCATTTCCGTTGCACTCATTAGAACCAAACACTGTGGGGTGATTTCACCAAGGACCACACGGCGGAACAGGATCTGGTCACCCAAAACAGAGAAGCTTAGTATGATAGCAAATCATTTGACGAGTATTTTACAATAATTATATCACATTTTTTTATCATCCTGGCTACTATAGCAGCATTTAACTAATGGGTTAAATCCTACCTCCAGCTGATAAGACAGAAAATTAACAATTAATTGAGCATTTGGTTTAAAAAAGGCCACTACAGCAACTGGACAGTTGATCTGGACATGATGATATTGCGGAATCTCTCAGGGATGTCAAGCTAGCCAGTTTATGGCTGCTGAAAGCCTCAACTGATCTGATTAAAGAAGTCTCCATGGTCATAGTTCTGTCAGAGTGGTCGGGTTGAGATCCTGGGGTGCAAATATCTCATCCAAGACAAACACTGTTCTCTTCCTTTTTGGGTGAGGTTTTCTTCTGGAAATCTTTAGAGGAAGCTATCAAAAAAGCTGCTGATGTCCCCCAGGTTCTTCTCTCCCAGGACGAAAGATGAAGGAGACCTCAACAGTATAGATGCTCATACAGATATCAAACTTCCTACAGAGATAGCAAATCCTACAGATCAGGTTGTAAATATACAAGATGCTTCAATTGGAGAAGTGTCCTGTCTTCAAAGTCCTCAAAGAACAAGTCTCCTTTTTTTTTCCTCCTTTCCATCACCAAGCAGTTCTGAAGGTGGCTAGGCCCAGGCTGCTTCAGTAGCTACCAGACTACAGCGTTTTCCGGAAGAAGTTCCAGACGTATGACTAAGGTCTATAGTTTCAAAAGATTACACTCTTTAATTTGAAGAGTCTCCTTCTCCTCATCTTTATTTCAATATTCCATCCTTTAGAACAACGTGATCACAGAGGTTCCAAAAGAAGAACGGTTTCAGGGGTTTTATTCTTTTTTTTATTTTTTAGGAGACCAAACAGAAAACGGAGACCTCACCTGGATCTCCATCAGTTCAACCTGTCCCTTCACATCAGACGATTTTGCATTGAGTCGATTCAATACATCATTTCAGTTGTCCATTCAGGTGATTGGTTGGTATCATTAGACTTTAAAGGGACACTATGGGCTCCTAGACCACTTCATATAAATAAAGTGGTTTGGGTACCATGTCCATGCCATTTTAACCCTGCAACTGAACATACTGTCATTTTGCATAAACAGCACTGGTTATATTAGAGCTTCAACCCCAATAACCGAGTTAAATTCAGCTATTTAATCAGAGGGTATCATAGAGACCATTTGATTGGTGCAACAAGGAATTTTGTCACACATGTGCACTATCCTCCCAATGCTCTGCAGTCTTGATGATCGCAGCCAAAGCGTTGGGGCCGGATGCACAGAGAGCACAGTGGCTAGGGAGAAAATGCAAGTAATCTACCTTTTTCTTTCACACCCCGGGGGGACAATACCCTAAGCAGTGAGCAAGTAAATATAATGTTAGGAATACATGTCTGTATTTCTAACGCTATGCTGTTCCTTTAAAGACACCTATTTCTATGTCTCGATTGCTTTTTCTCAACAGAGGTTTTAGGGTTGAGGGTCTCTACAACCATCATTTTCAGTTCAGATCACTTTTTTTTCAAATCACCAAGAGCCTTTTTTAAGGTTTTGGTTACTATCATATGGCTCAGGAAAAATGGTGTCTACATATTTCACTACCTAGACGACATCCCTGTGGTGGCTCCAGATCGTGCAGACTAATCTCACTTTGGGTGGATGGTTAACCATGAAAAAAAAATCAGCTGCAGCCTTCCAAGGAACTTGTTCTTCTGGGTACCAATATTAACATGACAACCCTTTCGTAAGAAAAGAAAGACATTCGTTTACAAGTTTTTTATTACAGACACCAGTATCTGAAAGAGACTTCATAAGTCTGATAGGCACCTTTACATCCACAAGAGCCCTGGTGCAATGGGCCTCAAGTAGATCAATCACCACTTTGCAGGCTGAAGAGGCTGGTGTTCTGACTGAGAGCATTTGCAAAACTGGTAACTGGTTCTCTATGAAAATCTTTGTTTGCCACTACAGAGTGGGTGTCTTCTGAGTTTCTGTTTCTCAGTTTGGTCTTTTTGTTTGAAATTCTGTTTCTTCTCGTACCTAATAAAGTTTTCTGATATTTATTTTCCTCTCTGTTGTCATTTACTGCTTGGGTATCACTCATTAGTTAAATGCTGCCATGATTAGTCAGGAATTAAGAAAATGTATTCACACTTTTTTATTTACACAATTTTGTTTTTCCTGGCTATTATCCATTCTAGCATTGCTTTCCCTCCCTGGATTCTACTTGACGTGTTACCAGATATGGATCTGTAGGTGTTCTATTTGTACCAAATGTTCATTTTAATTAATTTAGTTTCAATCATCTGAAGGGAGGAGCTAGCCCATTAATTAAATGCTGCCATAAATAATAGACAGGAAAAGAAAATTACAGTAAGTATGCATACGATTTTTCCTTAATTTGAATGAAAGCTATCTAAGCACTGTAATTGCTGCTAACTGAAAAATGGTTTATTTGTTTTATCAATAATATAGTAATGCCTGTCAGCAGCCATCTTGTAAACCCAAGATGGCTACATTTCACTCTAACAATATGTATACTGTGCGTAGCCCAACTGCACAGCTGGTGTTATAAACTGTCTTATCAGAACTTCCAAACATTTGCTTATGTGTAAATACAAGCATGAAAACATATAGACATACATAATGGGAAACATATGACGATTAGCTTTTGCTATAGTGGTTATGCAGCTTGATTTAATTGTTTTGTTTTTGGAAAAGATAACATAATTGTATATGTTATGTAATTTAGAAGTGTACATAAACAAACACACACACACACAGATATAGATAGACAGGGACAGAGATACGAAATGTGTTATTCACATAAATTCTTACAGTTATTTAGTACAGCTGGATTGGTAGCAAATGGAAATCCATTTGGCAACATTTAGGTCAAATTTCTCCAACTCAGCTAATATCACGGCTTATCTCTTTTAGCCTAAATTTTGCCACTTGGATATTCATTTGCTTTAAGGTTATTCACTTTTATGTGAATTGTCAGGAATTTATAATTTTAGGTCAATGGCCAAAATGAAAACAAAGTTGACTGTGAAATTTTTTCCAACTGACTATTTAGGATTTCAATTTCACATCTGATTTAAATTCCATATAACTTACACATTAGGGGTTTACTCACTGAAGCCCAACTTGGACCAAATGAAAATTTGAATTGCAAATTTAAGCAAAAACACCCAAGCTGTGGGTGTTGCTAAATTGGAGAATATCAGTTATTTTTCAAGTCAGATTTTAATTCTATACAATTCAGATTTTATTGATTAACTGTTTTAGTGATTAACAGTACAGATTCCAACAGGATACTGCTATCACTATTCCCACCTGATTTTTAGGGTCCTTCAAATTGAAAAGGAGGCTCCGGTATTTATTCTTATATCTGCTGTCAGTACACAGGAAAAGTTTAAATATTTCTTGTTCTACGTTCTCTGCAACTCCACGCACCGACTCATCCAATACGTGAAGATCTGGGGTTTCTCTGACTCTGAAATTACAAAAGATGCAAGATTATTCACTAAAGTGAGAATTCAAAGTGGATTTCAAATTTAAAGTCAAAAAAGACAAACTGGAAAAATCATCTAAGCCAACTGCTTTCAGTTTCGCTACTCTGGCATTCAATTTGAGATTCTCTTTGAATTTACTTTGAATTCTCATGTTAGCGAATAACCTATATGGTCTCCCAAATCAAGCAAAGGAAGGAGCAGATTTGGTATAATTCCATTACATGAGATCAACCAACCTCCTCAGCAGTGTATCAAACAGAGTCTGCACTGTGGTAACACGGACATCTTCAGGACATAACTCAACTATTTGCAGATAGGCAGTCTGCAGCTTCTCTTTTTCACCTGTTCTCTTCTTTCTCTTATGAGTATTCTTGTCTGGGAGAGGAAAACAAGAAAGCATGGAAATAAATGAACTACCACATAAAAACTGCAATAGACGTAACTGCTCTACTTTATTCAGATGTTTAATGAGCAGAGAAAGGAAAGTGAGCCACTCACACATGTCAACTGGCTTCCACTGAATTTATTGTATACCTGTACACACATGCTCAAACAGCTCAATTTATTGAAGTCACTGTATCACCTTAAAGGGACACTGTAGGCACCCAGACCACTTCAGCTCTTTGAATTAGTTGTCTGCCCTGAGACAGCCACTGGGGCCGCTTCTGGAATGCAAATCGACATTTGGTTGGTTATCTGACGCTGGACGTCCTCACGGACCTCCAGCTCCAGATTTTCCCCATATGAAAACATTGAATAATGCTTTCTATTGGCAGGTCTAATGCGCGGAGCTGGGCGGAGCCTGACCAAGCACCAAGGGACATCGGCGCTGCATTCAGGTAAGTGGCTGAAGGGGTTTTAACCCCTTCAGCCCTGCGTAAGGGGGGGACCTATTAAACCTATAGTGCCAGAAAAACGGGTTTGTTTTCCTGGCACTATAGAATCCCTTTAATCCATATCCTTAAGTTGCTTTCATTCATATATTAAGGAAACACTACACATCTATGTGCCAATGACATCATGTGAATTTACCCTGTGAATGCAGGGTAAATAAGGGACAGGAAAGTATGTTCCAAATAGCCACTTCTTGAGAACTGCATGAAAACCTTAACAGATACTACCATATGAAACATGAACACAGCATTTTGCTGTGAAAAGCACAGTATGGTGGTGGAAAAATCAATGGAATCAACTACATTGTATTATGTCATGGGAAATGCATGGAAAAAGAGCTTGCTCTTGAACACTGACAGTTTGCACAGGAATGTAATTTGCTCTTGGAGACTGAGATTCTGTACAGGAATACGACTTGCTATGGAATACTGTGGGTTTACACAGGAATGCAGCTTGCCCTTGGAATTTTCACAGGAATGGAGATGCACTGAGACACAGAGTTCGCACAGCAAAGCAGCTTCTCAAAACACTGAGGGATTGCACAGGGAAGTAGCCTGCTCAGGAGCTCAAGTACTACAGGGCACAGTAAAATTGCACAGTACCTTTTTATAGGGGATAGGGGACACTGCCCATTGCCATATGATCTGGAACTGCGGTAACCTCCCCCAGAATCACAACCGTGGAGCTTCTATAAAGCACAATGTGTTTGGCATGCCCATGCCTATACAGCAGGGCAGACAATATGGCAGAGAGAGGCTGGGATGCCTCTTAGGAACCCATTCACAACCCAGGTCCCAACGAGAACACTGCCGTACTGTGTTTGGGACCCGAGAGGATACAGCTGCTTTGGACTGTAAAGTGCTTAGGCTCCGTGACTGGAGTCAGGGACAACATGGAACACCATGATGGCAGTGTGAGGCATGCGCTGGGGGAGAACAAGGGCACACTCGGTCCAGACAATCTACTGCCTTAAGATTAAAATAACCCTAACTGACTCTAACAAAAGCACTAACCCTAACACAAATTCTTACACTAATTATTACCAAAACCAACACTAAAAACGCAAAGCCTAACCGTTCCGAAATCATGTAATAAAAAAAATAAATGTATATAACAATGAAGCCTATGTTTTAGCAAAATAATGCCATATTGTGGACATCTTATAATAAGCCACTCAACCTTGCCGTTATTATGATATCTCCATAACCCGAAGATGGCATTATTTTCTCCTAATAAAGGCTTTGCCATTTTTCCTACATATAAATATATGCAGAGCGAGAGAGATTTGAAGGGACACTATAGTCACCAGATTAACAACAGCTTATTGTATTTGTTCTAGTGAGTATAGTCTTTCCCTGTTGGCCTTTTGCAGTAAACAATGTTTTTCAGGGCAAAGCCAGTGCTTACATTACAGCCTAGCAATACCTCCACTGGCCACTCCTCATATGATTACTAGAGGTGCTTCCTGGGGCAGTGGTGCACACTGTGCAGCACTGACATTCAGTGTCTCCACCCGCTGCATGGAGACACTGAACTTTCCTTTGTAGAGATGCATTGTTCCAATGCATTTCTATGAGGAGATGCTAATTTGCCAGGGCTGTGTTTGGCTTGTGTTGGCTATGCCCCTGATCTGCCTCCTTGGCAATCTCAGCCAATCCAAAGCTTTTCTATGGGAAATCATTGTGATTGGCTGAGATCACCACTTCTGATGATGCCAGCCAAGCAGGCAGATCAGGGGCAGAGCCACAGCAGCAGACTGGAGTAAAGGTATGATTTTACTATTTTTAGAGGGGCATGGGAGGGCCAGGGGGGCTAGATGGTTTTTAAAACACTATAGCGTCAGGAATACATGTTTGCGATTCTATAGTGTTCCTTTAAATATGTTTAGAGGAGATAAAAATAGAAATGACATATGAATAAGGAGATTACATTTGAAGTAACTAAATCACAATGACAAAATCTGCAAAACTGAGTCACAACAGGTTGATTGCCAATTAATAGCATGTATCTGCAATAACTAAAGTCTAAAAATTGGCACTTTGATATTTGCGTTTTCAAAGAAATATGAGAAAACTAACAATGATACAAACAGTTCAAAGAATCTAAACTATATAATGTGTCTAGACGTCCCTTCTCATAGCTAATTACAGCATATTCTACACATGGACACACTGCAGTATCAAAGAGAAACAGTGGCTGCACTGAAGCTCAGTGACAAGGAGAGATGTGAAGTTCAACTGACTCTGTAACCCAACTTCAGCCACAAAATGTATGTCAATAGCGTCACAAAGATGGAAGTTTAACGATTGCTCTACCTGTGGGGAATTTGAGGCTGTTTTATAAAAAAAGATGTTTCAATATTCCACTCACAAGGTATATACATAATTGAAATTTTATAAATGGGAGTGTATAGTTTAACCCCTTAAGGACAGACCTTCAGAAGCTTGTCTTACGCTTAAGGACAAAGGCCATTTCTGCATTTTTCTGCTGTTTCAAAAACAATTTGCATCTCTGTCATTTATTGCACCAACACATAATATGCATAGTTTTTTTATAGGGCAAACAGGGCTTTAATTTGATGTCACATATACATAGATACATTCTCATTAATTATATAAAAATGCCACAAAATAAAAAATAAACTATATTTTTTTCCACACTTCTGGCATAATATGTCCAGCTTAGAAAAAGTTATTCAAAATAAATTCATTTATGTGTCTTGATTTATAGAGTACATCATATGTGTAGGATTTCAGATTATTTTGAAAGCTACAGGTCACAAAATACAAGGACTAAAATAAAATTTCAATTTGCAACAATTTTAGAATTTGGTATGTTTGTCTTGTAGGTTTAGTAGCCATCACAGAAAACAAAATTGCCACACAAAAGTATATATTTATATAAAGTAGACATCACAGGCTATTTACCTAAGGTTAGTTTGACACTTTTTACGTAGCCATTTCATCGCCAATCTCTGCTAAATATTGGAGTAAAATTGTGGTTTTTCTTTATTTTGGTATATACACATTTAACAAGGTTTTTGTAATGTGTATTTCGTAAAGCTGGTGTATTCCTGCACAGAACCCCATATTGTGTTTAGTTACATCTGCTGATTGTATGCCTTTGGCACTTTTCTGTAAAGCTACAGTGCCATATAAGAGAAGGCTATTTCAGTTTCAATAGTTAGAATTTTCTTAGATGGATTTGACGGGCCAATGTCTCATTTTAGGGTATTCTAGTAGTGTGACTGTTCAAATAACCCCACAAAGGGCTTTCATTTGATAAAGCAGACACCCCAGGGTATATTATATGGTGTATATTGTGCCTTAACTTGTCACCATTTTTTCACCAATTTATGTCAATGTTTGTGGTGGGGGTGGTGGCATTTTTACATATATGTTGCATTTTTGCTGAGTATTTCTTACACTTAATATGTACCACTGTCATAAAAATCCCCAAATTATACTCAGTTACACCTTCTGAGTAAAACAATATGCCCAATATAGGACCTAGACACTATTTTGTGAAGTTACAGTGCTGTAAAAGAGACGTGACAAGTTCAGGTTTTTAAAGGGACACTATAGTCACCCAGACCACTTCAGCTCAATGAAGTGGTCTTGTTACAGGGTAGAAGCCAGACACAAAGAGTCGGACGCAGGTCTGTTCAGGAGGTAAAGGTCTTTATTCTCACCAATCGGGTCTCAGCTGAACTCCTGTTCAAAGGGTCTTTTGATTAGCCATCTGTTACCTTACACCAATCAGCAAACAGGATATACAGGATCACATTATATGGACAGGCAACATGGCTCTTTAGGAGAATGGAATGTGGTTTAAGTTCTTGCACATGCTCAGTACATGATGACAGTCTCTAACTACATGTAACTAATTAACAGATTAAACAGATACTTGAACTTGTATATACCACATGGAGATTTTAGGCCTGCTAGATGTTTGGCCTTGCTGAAATTCCATCACACTCCCCCCTTTGATGCTTCTGATATACAATACTCCAGATGCATCACTTACCATACTTTGCCAATACCACTCAGGTAATTACAAAACAGGGAAGACCATGTGAGCATTCTAGCTTAATTTTATGAATTCTCAACACTCATCGACCTGATTACAAATGATTTCCCTTTGGGCTAGCAGTTCATATCTCCAAATGGCCATTACATGAGCTGCCATCTTCCTTTCTATAGTGCTCTCAATAACACTAAATATAGACTGAATTATTAATGGACTCAAGCAGGGTAGTAAGAGGCATAAGAAAATAATAAATGCCACTCCCCCTACAAGTGCTTTAATCCCTCCAAACTGTTCATACCAGCTTCCAAACCAACTACTTAGAAGATTATACACGTTCCTGCTCTGAGTAGGTTCATGCATTAATCTAACCATGTGGCTGGTAATGTCAACCACAGCTTGCCCTTCATCATCTATATGCAGGCTGCAATTACTAAGATTAAATTTTCCACACACACCTCCTTCTACTGCTAATATATAGTCAAGAGCCATCCTATTTTGGTAAATGGCTGACCTCATACAGGTATTCTGTTTTGCCAGGAGGTTAAGTGCTTCAGCTGTCTCAACCACTGCCTGTAATTTTATGATGCGGTTGAGCATGTATATGGGGGTCGGGTAACCATAAGTACCATCTTCAGCTCAGGTAGCAGGTCCATAGTAATTAATAATTCGCTGGGGTGGCCATTCATCATCTTCCCAATTACCTATATTTAATGGTTCTCGCTTCTTCCTATGATTTACATCTCCTGTTTTGGATTGTAACAAGAAGAAGGATGGTTTGAGCATACGTAGCACACATGCCCCCTCCCAATCTTGTGGTAATTCTGAATATGCCTTCTTACCACAAATCCAGTATACATTTTCTGGGGCTCTCCAGTTAGATGTAGCAGATAGATCAAACCATACCTCTCTTAAATTGGTGCAATTAACAAAAGGATTGGTGGGCTCTGAGACATTTGAAGCTGACCACCAGGTAGTATTATGGGTACTAGCATTATATGCTTTCTGCCCTAGACAAGTCAATTCGCCTACAGGTGTATTATACATTGGGCTTGCCCTAGCTAAGCATACATGAACTATTCTGGATGTTTTTAGTTGCCATTCCGATTTTTCCCATATGGTTGCTTGATTACTGGAGTGGGAAGGCATCTGTTGCTCATTTGTCTCAGAACCAGGGTACCATACTTCTCTCACTTCCCACGGCCATTGGTCTCCCATATTTGTACCTTCACATACAAAGCAGTTAGTTATTAAGACTACTTGCAATACTCTCAGCCAGATCGATGAACAGGTTCTTAACAGTGTGGGGAACTTTATCTTCAACACTCTCATTAATGGAATGGAATACCTGATGAGTGTTGGCATTCATGACTACAGGATTACACTATATTGATTTACAATGAGGAATACTAGGTAACCTCTGAATTATCAGATCTTGGTCTACTGTTTTTCCCCAGGTCGACCAACCTACACATAACCAATACGGGCAAAAGTTGAAGTACCTATTTGGACAATCGGGGTCAGTAGATCTTCTACTAGGGCATTGATATTTAGCATTAAACCCTTAGGTTTATTCCCACTTAAGATTACCACATATGTTCCAAGGTTTTCCACTACCATAAATTGCTTTGCATGCATCGAATAGTAGGGTGCCTAAGAAAGAAGTATTACTTAACAAAGTTTTATTTATCAATGCCCCCTGAGAGTAGGTATTTCAAAGAACTAGCCAGATTGTACGGGGTTGGAATTGGGGATCAAAGCACTTGGGTTCACCTGACACTGGTTGACACACACTATAATCAGTGTCTAAGTATCTACATCTAGACACAGATCCTTTACATTCATAATGCGAGTGCCAAATAAGAGTTTGGGATATCTGATTACCTGTTTTTGTAGTCTTAATACAACTATCACAGCCTCGTATGTCATCACCTTTACATTCCATATATATAATAAAAACACTAAAACACACAAAGAAATACATTATGATGTATCAACATTTTCAACCGTGCAACGGCACCTCAGCTTCCCGCTTGTGAGGGCTGCAAGGAATGTTATTCGTCTGATCCTCTCTTCCCTTCACAGAGGTCCCTGCTAGACACTCTGGCTATGAAATGTTGGTAGGTGGTCAGGCTTTATTATGGCCGTCAAAACACCTACTTGCTGCTTTCTGATATCTTTCTCACCCACGGGTAAAGTCGTCTCGTACCTTCCTTATGTCACTTTAATCAAACTTCAGGGACTGCTTCTTTCCCAGTAGCTCCTATTACAGTGACAGTCTTTCCAGAGGGAGGGGCTACTAATTTGGTCACAACAGAGTGTTTAGCACCCGTATCAATCATGAAGGGACTTTTCTTTCCCCCTATTGTTACTTCGACCATAGGCTCCGCTCGGTCAAGGGGGATAGAGCCCAGTCTGTAGCAATAGTCCTCCATGACTGTATCAGCCAGACCCACAAAGTCCCTATCGTCACTATCTTTTGGTCTCTGAGTAGGGGGATAGTATCTACCTTCCTAGACGTCTCCTCTGTTACTATTGTCGCTCCTTCCAAGACTTCCTTTTGTCTAAAACTTGCTTTATTTTCCCTCTGTGGGCAGTCACTTTTCCAATGTCCTTCCTCTCTGCAATACGCACATTGATTTCCACCTAACTGTTGTCTGTCATTCCTAATCTCACCTTCCTTTTTTATCTCTCCTCCTTGTCTACCCACTCCTGTAATTGCTACAGCTAGCATATCCACTTTCTTTTTCATTCTGCGTTCCTCCTCACGCTTCCCTATTCATATAAACCCTGTTTGTGATTTCCATTAGCTGTGTTATGGACATCCCTGCAAATACCTCTAACTTTTGCAATTTCCTTTTAATGTCACTCTGGGCCTGGCTGACGAATGCCGAATTAATTATATGAGAACTCAGGGTCTTTGGGATAAAAAAAAAAAGGGGGTATAATGTCTGTATGGTTCAAGCAGTCTCTCATAAAAAAGCACTGGGAGATTCATCAGGTTTTTTTTTTGTAATACTTTAGCTGTTCTTGAAATGTTTATATCCTTTTTCCCAACTGCTTTCATGCCTGTAATAATGGCTTGTTGGTAAACTTTTAAAAGAACCATATCAGCAATCAGGATCCGTATTAGGGAAATGGGTAGTAGCCCAAGCTGCTGGATTTGCTTGGTTTTAGGTACAGACAGTCTCCTCAAGAGCTTCAATGGCAGCTTAGTTAATACGGGTCTTTTCCTCAGAAATGAATAAAGTCAAAAGTAACTGCTGGCAATCAGCCCAAGTAGGGTTGTGGGTTTGTATGATCGATATGACCAAATCAGTCATAGCTTGCTGCTTTTTCCATTTATGAGGGGTTATGGGTTTTCCAAATAAATAAGTCGGTTGTAGCAAAGGGAACATATTCACATACAGGGTCTCAGTCTCCCAATTACAACTGGCCATTGCCATCAATGTATGTTGGGAAAGGTGTAAGTCGGAGAGGCATCTGTAAATGCCAGGTTGGAGCGTACCAGCAATCATACATGTTTAAACCAGACTACGGACATGTATAGAATATTGTGGTCTAACAAGTTCCGGTTGGGGGTCATTAGGTGGCTAGAGGAAGGTAAATTAAGCATCTCAGTTTGTAATTTAGTAAAGAGGGATATCTTGGACAAGGCTGGGAGGGGCCTGTCCAGTAACTTAAAAAAGGGTAAAAGTGTATTCCAGCGTTTTATACCATTGATCATTTCTTCCAGTTGTATTTTAGACTCAGTTACTGTTACTGAAGGCACACAGGGCTCAGTAGTTATAGTGCTATGTCAGTGATTATGGTACAATGTCATTGCTGAGAATTATCATCTAATGGACTAAGTTACTGTTATTTAAGAATTCTCCTCACAATTTTGACTGTTAATAATTAAATTGAACAATAATAAAATACACTAAAATACACTCCTACCAAAAGGGAGTCAGTTCAGAATACAAAAGAACCAGTGGGAGTAGGTACAGAAATAGGAGGGCTTAAAGCAAGAGAACCGGCATCTGAGATAGGTATGTGGGGACAATAGAGCAGGAGGAATGAAAACACCAGCTACACCAGGTTTAGCTTGGGAGGAAGAGTAGGGGGTTGGTAAAGGGAGATCAGATTCAATGGGGGTGTCCAAACTAGGTGGAGTTGAGGCCTTAGTGGCCAAACAGTTTCTGGCAACCATGAGACTGCATTGTTCCTTGTGGCATAACTTGATCCAATTAGGCTGTTTTCCTAACAATTTGCTTCCAACAATCAATATACAGAAACTAATCATAAAGCTCCAGCATACTTGTTATATCAATTTAAACCTGCTGTATTAAATCTGGATCAAGGCTACCCCAGGAGGGCCACTGGTTACCAAAACAGGCCGTTCTATGCTACACAGAGTATTTTAATCTTTAGAGGGACAGTGATACACCATAATCACAAACAGCATATCCCTTAGCAAAGTTTTGTTTTGTTTTTTACATACATGACAAAGGACCAACGGTTTGTGAATCAGAAGCACCCATGATTTCAACAGAGAGTCTGATTCAAAGCAATACAAATATACAAACACAGTTACAATTGACACACAAATCTCCTTATCACTAACACCACGTGTTGCGGTTACAAGGCCAAAACACACACGTACACACACGCACAGGAACCTCACACGTTTCACAGCATTAATGAAGTCTCACACATACAGAACGAAGTCAAAAACCACCAAATGCTATACAATTATCTATAATCATAGTTAATCATCATCTAAACCACCCGATCGCATGATATTTCTACAATTCCATATCAACAGTCAGTGGTTGTGGTACTGTCAGTGGTTATGGTATTATAAAGTAGTTATGGTATTAAAGTTACAATGTCAGTCAGTATTTATGGTGTCGTGGTTATAATGTCAGTAGTTGTGGTGTCAGTAGTTATGGTGTCAGTAGTTATGGTGTTGTGCGTAATTAAACACTAGCTGCACTTTACCAGTCCGCTAAACAGCAAAGCTCAAACTTTAGCAAGACATACATGTTACATACTAGAGCTTAGCTATACAATATTTACACCAGAATTAAACACTATCTGCACTTACAAGTCCGCTAAACAGCAAAGCTCAAACTTTAGCAAGACATACATATTACAGACTAGAGCTTAGCTATACAATATATATACATCAGAGTTTACTTAAACAGTATTCTAAACTGAACAGAGCTTATACTAAGTTCATGTACATACTTCAAGATCTAGCGAAAGGAATTTACCACAGAGTTCGGCTAGTCTACTCACTCCAATATCCACGATCTAATGAAAGGAAATTACAACAGACTTCAACTAGTCGAGATACCAGAATCAGAACATACTTCGAGATCTAGCGAAAGGAATTTACAACAGAGTTCGGTTAGTCTACTCACTCCAATATTCACGATCTAGTGAAAGGAATTTACAGAGTTCAACTAGTCTAGATACCAGAGTCCGACTGAACATATATACATCAGAATTCAGCCGGACAAACAGACCCTATGCTAAACGGGCTAGCTACAGAGCGTTTAGCTTAAGACGGGGATCAGCCATCTCTTCCCCCCGTTCAGGGAGGTCAGTCAGATACAGATTTGTTTCCCCTAGTGGGTTACCTTTAGTTCCTGGACCTGGGGTTCAAAATTAATCGACGGGACACCCCAATACCCACTGCGCAGAAGCCGATGGTCTCCTGGACAAAAGGCCAGTGGCGCCGAGACGAAAGGAGGTCCACGCAGTAACAGTCCAGGGGTGTTGCCGTGGAACACTGGGTAAAAGTTCACCGTCTTAGGGTCTCTGCCCTGGCTTCCCGGCCAATGCACCAGTTATGTTACAGGGTAACACTGAAGAAGCCAGACACAAAGAGTCGGACACAGGTCTGTTCAGGAAATAAAGGTCTTTATTCTCACCGATCGGGTCTCAGCTGAACTCCTGTTCAAAAGGTCTGAGCCCTGAGCACATGGTGTAGAGGCTTTTTATTAGCTATGCATCCCCCCCATCTGTAACCTTACACCAATCAACAAACAGGATATACAGGATCACCTTATATGGACAGGCAACATGGCTAGCTGAAATCCCATCACAGTCTGGGTGCCAGGTCCCTCAGGTTTTAACCCTTCACATGTAAACATAGCAGTTTCCCAGAAACTGCTATGTTTACATTTGGGGTTAATCCAGCCTCTAGTGGCTGTCTTCCAGACAGCCACTAGAGGCGCATCTGCGACGCTTGAGGCGAATTTCGCCTCCATCACGCAGAGCATCCATAGGAAAGCACTGAGAAATGCTTTCCTATGGACACTTTGAATGCGCGCTCGGAACACTTGCCGCACATGCGCATTCGGCTCCAGTGACGTCGGACGATGGAGCTGACCTCGGACGGGGACGAGCGATCACCAGCGCTGAGGGAGCCTGGCGCTGGATAAAGGTAAGTGGCTGCGGGGATTTTAACCCTTTCAGCGCCACGGAAGGGGGATCCTGAAGGTAGGGGGCACCCTCAGGGCACTATAATGTCAGGAAAACCGCTTTGTTTTCCTGACACTATAGTGATCCTTTAAGTGTGAATTTTCATGGAGGGTTTTGATGCGTCCGTGTCCCACTTTGGAGCACTTGAGCAGGCTACATATTACAACTACACCATAAAGGCATACCATTTCTTAAAGAAGACATCTCATGATATTTCAAAAGGCATATTTTGAACCTTAGCGTGTACCTTTGCCAGAAATATGTGGACATCAGAGGGGCACATTTGGAACACAGCCATTCCAGTTTTTTTCAAAATTTTAATTTTTACGCTGTGCCCATGTCCCATTTTAGAGTATTTTACCAGGCTATATAATCCAAGTACCCCATAAAGCCATACCATTTCTTAAAGAAGACATACCAGGGTATTTCAAACAGCATATTTTGAACCTTAGCGTGGGATAATTTTTCCACTAGCTTATACCAAGTGCAGTGGTAATAAGCATTTTTTTCTGCCTTTTTGAACACACAAAGTGAGTTTGCACAGTATATTTTGCAAACCTAATGCGTGCTACAACTGTATAATACTTCATATGTTTCTCAGCTATGTCGTCTGAGTACAGCAATACCCCCATAAGTACCTTTGCCAGGTATATGTGGACATGAAAGGTGCACATTTGAGACACAGCCATTCCAGTTTTTTTTCAAACTTTGAATTTTTACGCTGTGTCCATGCCCCATTTTAGCAGGCTATATAATCCAACTACCCAATAAAGGCATACCATTCTTAAAGAAGATATCCCAGGGTATTTCAAAAGGCATAATTTGAACCATAGCGTGGGATAATTTTTTTGCTAGCTTGTACCAAGTGTAGTGGTAATAAGCGTTTTTCTGTCTTTTTGACACACAAAGTGAGTTTGCACAGTACATTTTGCAAACCTAATGTGTGCTACAACTGTATAATACTTCATATGTTTCTCAGCTATGTCGTCTGAGTACAGCGATACCCCCATTTGTACCTTTGCCAGGTATATGTGGACATGAAAGGGGCACATTTGGGACACAGCCATTCCAGTTTGTTTCAAACTTAAAATTTTTACGCTGTGCCCATGTCCCATTTTAGAGTATTTTACCAGGCTATATAATCCAAATACCCCATAAAGCCATACCATTTCTTAAAGAAGACATTCCAGAGTATTTCAAAAGGCATATTTTGAACCTTAGTGTGGAATCATTTTTCTGCTAGCTTGCACCAAGTCTAGTGATATTAAGGGTTTTTTCTGCCTTTTTGACACACAAAGTGAGTTTGCACAGTATATTTTGCAAACCTTATGTGTGCTACGACTGTATAATACTACATATATTGCTCAGCTATGTCGTCTGAGTACAGCAATACCCCCGTATGTACCTTTGCCAGGTATATGTGGATGTTGAAGGGGCACATTTGAGACGCAGCCATTCAGTTTTTTTCTAACTTTGAAGTTTTACGCTGTGTCCATGATCCAATTTGGAGTAGTTTAGATGGTTGGTTATTGAAACCTTCACACAAACACATACCATTTCTTAAAGAATACACCCTGGGGTAATTCAAAAGGCTTATTTTGAACCTTAGCGTGGGATCATTTTTTCTCTAGTTTGTTCCAAGTGTAGTGGTAATGAGCGTTTTTAAATGTATTTTTTTACTTTTTTAAACCTTTTTTACTTTTTAAAACTAGTTTATAAACTTTTTTTTGCTTATTACATTTTTTTTACTTTCCTAAACTTTCTTAAACCTTTTTTTTTTCCTACAGATTTAACATTTTTATAAGTTTTTTTTTACCGTTAACCCTAACTAGCAGTAAGCAGTACTAACAGTAAATTCCCCACTTTCCCATAACCCCCACCCACCCGAGCTAGCAAAAGATATAATTATAAAATATTTAAATTAATTAATTAATTAATTAAATTGAACCCCTGAGGGTTAAAAAATAAATAAAAATTAATCCTCAGGGGTTAAAAAAATTAGATCACAGTATAATACTGTGATCTGTATTTTGATCACTGTAGGCAGTGGTCGACTGGCAGGGAAGGGGTTAATTTTTATTTGGACTGGGCATAGGGGGTGTTGTTTTTTTTACTTAAATGTTATTAAAACTTTTATTTAAAAATGTTTTTAACTTTTTAAAGCTTATTTTAAAACCTTTTTTAACTTTAACCTCTAGTTAGCCTAATACCAAATCCCCCAATTCCCCACTAACTTCCACCCAGCCCAGCTAGCTAAATATATCATTTTAAAATATTTAAATTAATTAATAAAATAAATCTCACCCCTGAAGGTTGAAAAAAAAAAATTAACCCTCAGGGGTTAAAAAAATAAATAAAAATCAGATGACAGTAAAATGTAATCCCTGCCAATTGATCACTGTAGTCTGTGATCAATTGGCAGGGATGGGGTTAATTTTTATTTAAAATGGGTAAAGGGGGGTGGGATTTATTTTTATTTTTTTAACAGGGAAGCAGATCATCAATGATCCGTCTCCCTGCACTTCACAGAACCCGGAAGCGCAGGGACGCGGATGGTAAGTCCCTGCAGCACATGTGCTCGCTCTGACAGCCTGTCAGAGCGATCACTGCTGCAGGGGCAGCGCGATCGGGTGCTCCCGGTCTGCCTCTAATACAGAGTCATACCGGAGCACCGTTAACCCTGCGATCGCTGCAATCTGGGGTTAATTTTAACCCATGACGGACCTGGTCCGTCACCCGTCGTTAAGGGTCTCCCCTGGGTGACGGACCAGGTCCGTCACTCGTCATTAAGGGGTTAAAGGGACACTGTAGTCATCAAAACAACTTTATGAAGCAGTTTTTCGTGCATAGATTATGCCTCTGAAGCTTCACGACTTAATCCACTGCCATTTAAGAGTTAAATCACTTTTGTTTCTGTTTATGTAGCCCTAGCCACAACTCCCTGACACAGCCTGGATGAAAAAAATAGTTTTGTTTTCAATCAGGTGTAACTTACTTTAAAAGTTTTTATCTCCGAGGCAGAGCCTGACCTGCAAGACGAACAGTCGCATGTTCACAGAGCTCCCACTAATCTCAGCGGATTTCCCGATGCAAATCGAATTGCAAAGCCTGACCACACACCAAACTGCTCTACCCCCTCCTGCCCTCCCAGGGACCGGCAGGGGTGATCCCGGTCCACTCCAGGGAGGCAACCCTGCTCCACAACACACACGACCAGACACTGAATGAGCAACATCCAGCCGTAGAGAAGCAGAAAATGGCGGAGGCCACGTGCTCACATACAAGCAGGGACCTCGAAGCTAAACTGAACAGCCTGTTCACTGCCTTTTGGAACAAATTGGAACTTAGGCAACAACAGGTTCAGACACCTCGTAAGACACCTCCACGATCCAGTGGCAAACCGACGGTGCCCAAGGTGCAGAGGGCCCGAAAATGGCGGACCACATGACCATGCTCACGCCGCTCACACGCTGCCCATCGGAACCCAGTAAGGCATCCCAGCACAAGAAAGGCGGTAAACAACGCAACAACTAACCTGCCACAACCCGACCGGACTGCCCCTAGTAGCCTGACTCACAACTACAGCCGGATTATGAGACCACACAGGAGAGGCTTCAGTGCCTCCATAGCAAGGTCTTACCTTCGACTCCTGTATGCGGGTCTCTACCTGGGAGGGCAACAGGGTACAATAGCGAGACTCTCTGGGCAAGGAAGCTGAGTACCCCAGCACGGCATAGGATGACCTAAGGACTGAGCACAGGTACCACTGTACCCCAGCAGTGCACTCTCGGTGCCCACACCATGTGCCCAGATTAACCCATGTTTAATATGTGTAAGTCATATGCAGGGAGGTGTGATTTGGGCTATATAAATAAAGTGATTTAACTCATAAATGGCAGAGAATTGAGCAGTGAGACTGCAGTGTCATGATCTATACACCAAAACTGCTTCATTAAGCTAAAGTTGTTTTGGTGACTATAGTGTCTCTTTAAAGAAAAAGGACAGTTAAATATTTCATTCTTCCAGGGTTACTAAAATAGGTACCATTAAAGGAACACTACAGTGTTAGGAATACAAGCCCATATTGTTGTAGAGGTCCCCTTGCTTTTTCCATTAAAATTAAAGAGACACTATAGGCACCCAGGCCACTTCATCTCATTGCATGATGACATCCAGCATCTTCTAAATCCCCATAGGAAAGCATTGATCGATGCTTTTATATGGTAAAGGCCTAATGTGCTGCGCTCGCCATGCATGTGGCTTATATTCCCATCGGCTGACGACAACACCTCAACACTTGAATGAAGTGAAAAGGGGGTAATTGAGTCCTTTCATGGCTGGGGGGCAACCGTGGGGTCGCGGAGGCAGAAGGACACTTTAGTGTAACGTTAAGAAGAAAAAAAAGGTTTTACTCATCTTTTTCCAGTGTCTCAGCTCTGCTCACCTCTCTGCCTCTTGTGACACAAGGCATGTCAGGCATGGGCTCCTCCAGCAATGGTTCAATCCAACACACCTCGTAGAAGAGCATTGTGGACCTGAAGTGCATTCGTCCCTGAGTTACACTTAGTCAATTCAGCAGAAGTGCCTCAAGAGGCTGTGAGAGGTATCCCTGCTCCTAGCATGTTGTAGGTGCTTACATTATTTTGTTAATTTCCTATTAACAAAAAGTCCTGAACATTCATTATGTTTGCTTCTCCACTACATTGCAACACAGCATAGAAGGAAGCATCAGGAGCATTGTTTTTCTGGTGTCTACTTATTAACCTATCACTCCACAGCACACATGATGAGGAAAGGACAAAGGTCAATGGTTGTGACTTCTCTGTTTATCAAGAGTCAACGCCAGGGAACGCAAACTTTTGTTAAAATAAAATAATAATTTGATAAGAGAAAAGGTGATAGGATTGATTTAGTGTGTCACCATGAGAAAAAACTACTAGGCAATTTCTAAGTATTAGTAGCTTCAGATGGATTAACTCCAGTGAGAAAAATATGTACGCATGGTCCAACAAATAAAAAATATATAGTGGCAATTTTAGTGTGCCTTTTTATTGCTGGAGCTTCCGTCTAAAGCTCTGAAATGCCACTAAAGAAGTCAAAATAGCTCTTCTCAACAATCGTATCTTGTTAACTGAAAACTTAAAGACAATTGCTTTAATCTTTGCTCTGTGATGTTTGACATAAATGAACAAATGTAATGATGCATTTTGTGGTTTAAATGTATAGTTTTAATATGTAATTTGTGTTAATTTAATCCTAAAATGCTGAAAACAAGTTTGATATATTTTGTCAACATCAAAAAAACAAATGACCGACATGATTTTGCACACAGTTTTATGCACAGAATGTCACTCACCTATATGAAGGTGGTCTCTTGCCTTTCTTTTAATCAACTCGTTCCTTCCATATGGTTTCAAAAGATCTCTGGCATCATTACTTTCAACGCAAATAACGTCATCATAGTTAGTCTCCTCCTGGAGAAAGACAAGAAGGGAGGTATATTTTAGGGAAAGACCGATTTTGATATTTGTTAGAGCAGACACCGATAATCTGTGAACTTTCAGGCCGATAGCCGATAATTTACCGATACCGATATTCTGTACATTTATCATTTTTAAAATATAAATTATTTACACACAAAATCTACTGTTAACTGAAAATGTTTATTATGTATTTATTTTTTTTGCATTAAGGTAAATACACAAAATATACATGCCAGTCAGAATATTTTATGTTTTCAAGAATATATGTGTGTGTGTAGTGGGAGTATTTGATTAGTGAATGCAGTATGTGTGTGTTTGTGTAGTGGATGCAGTGTATGTTTGTGTAGTGTGTGTACAGTGAACGCAGTGTGTGTTTGTGTAGTGTGTATATAATGAATGCAGAGTGTGTGTTTGTGTAGTGTGTGTATAGTGAATGCAGTGTGTGTTTGTGTAGTGTGTATATAATGAATGCAGAGTGTGTGTTTGTGTAGTGTGTGTACAGTGAATGCAGTGAGTGTTTGTGTAGTGAGTATATAATGAATGCAGATTTTGTGGTTGTGTAGTGTGTGTATAGTGAATGCAGTGAGTGTCTGTGTAGTGTGTATATAATGAATTAAGAGTGTGTGTTTGTGTAGTGTGTGTATAATGAATGCAGTGTGTTTGTGTAGTGTGTGTATAGTGAATGCAGTGTCTGTTTGTGTAGTGCGCTTTTAATGTATGCAGAGTGTGTGTGTTTGTGTAGTGTGTGTACAGTGAATGTAGTGTGTTTGTGTAGTGTGTGTATAATGACTGCAGAGTGTGTGTATATAATGACTGCAGAGTGTGTGTGTTTGTGTAGTGTGTGTATAGTGAATGAGGTGGTGCAGATTGACCAGGGCAGAGTTTGACTCTACACTAAGCAATTACACTGTAATTGTTGTTTCCTATAGTGTCCCTTTATGAATCAAATTTGGACCATAAGGACAAATTCCATCCGGAATATATATTTATTAAAGCCAATTGCAGTCGGTATTCCCAGTAAGGAGTCAACTTTAAAAATAAGTGCTCTTCGCATACAAATCTCACATAAACTAATATTAGCCAGAGTAGACACTAAAATGTGCCCCTAGCACCTCTTCCCCCTCACCACCATTAAATAAATAATTGGTGGGTGGGGACTATTAATAAACCAAGGGCAGTGGACATGCCTTGTCCCCCATATATTGCTTTAATGGCTCCACCCGCTACAGGGTAAAAGGGGTTGATGCTTAGCTGAACAATACAATTTGGTTAGCTAAGAAAAGAAATTTTGAAAAACTAATAAGCAAACACAATTTATTAACTGCACTAATATATGTATATTTGTTTAATTGTATTGGTCAAATTCATTAAAAAAAATGCTATTTAACCTTGAAAATTACTAAATTGTTTTGTGTATGAGCAAAATAAACTTTAATGGGGTTGAGTTAGAGATAACATTAAATGAAAAGGACTTGCTGACAAGTATAGATAACAAACTAGTCAACAACATGCAGTGCCTTTCTGCCATTGCAAAGGATAGTAAAGTGCTGTCATGTATAAAAAGTGGTATTAATTTACGTCATCAAAATATAATTTTGCCTCTTTATAAATCAATGGTAAGACCCCATGTTAAATATGAGGTGGAATTTTGGCCAATAGTTTTAAGGAAGGATATAGCAGAACTAGAAAAAGTTCAGAGACATGGGAAACATTAGTTCTGAAAAAAATCTTGAAAAACTAAAAAAAATTTTAGAAAAGAAATTTAAATAATAAATATTTAAAAAAGGATAAAATTAAATATAAAAACAAAATAATATTGGAGACGCTACATAGATGATGATGTTTTTAATTTTGGAAGGGCACTATAGACGCAATCAAATTTATGCTTAATCATAATGTTTATGGTTATAATGGAGATTTTTATTTACAAATTAAAGGGACGGTCATGGGCACCAAGTTCCAAAAGATTTTTCAAGAAACATTGGCCGCTACATTTAGAAGATGAATTTTTAAATCCACTACCCACGTGGTATACTTATTGACATGAACATGTAGGACACAATATGCTGGAAGAACAAGTAGGAAGAATAAAATTCAATTAATGAAACATTTGAATAATTTAAAGAAATGAATAACCACCCACTCTGTACCTAACCACTGAAGGGATTGTAAAGATTTGAATGTTAAAAATGTATCTTGTATTGCAATTGAAAATGTTGAACTAAGTAGGGGTGGGGAACTTATGAAGAAACTTAGAAGGAGAGAGGGATTCTGGATTCACAGGCTAGGAACTATGCAGCCCAATGGTCTTAATGCTGATTTTGATATGGTTTATTTTTTATGATTTGTACACATATATTTTTAATATTTTAATATTTATTTTATATTTCTATTTTATAGTTATTTTTAGATATTTATTTTTATTTATATTTGTGACGGTAGTCACCATTACTGGGAGTGGAAGACGGACACTTTTTGTAGGTCCCCAGTTTGTTCTTAAGTTTTAGATCCTGTGTGCCCATTATAGGTGTAGGGTGTATATAATGTAATTGTTTATTGTTAAATGTTTGTGTTCTCTCCTGTACTGTGATGCTTGCAACCAACTAGGTGTATTTGGCTGTGGAGCCTGTACAGTGCCATCTGTTGGTGTAAGGATCTTGAAACATCTAAATATATGCACTATCTGAATAGCAAGGATTTGTAATTGGCATATTTAGGTAGATTTGCATTTACATTCTGAATTCTGCAGGAAGGGGAGGTATTTCTTGTTAGTTATTGTCTTCCCCATCCCTTTTATAAATATGTTTTGTTATGAGTTCTTGTTTTTTTCCCTATATGATTTGGTTATTTGTATTTTACTGATGTTATCACAGTAAGTTTAATGTAATGTGCATATGGGCTCTGTGTTAGTTCCTTTTGCAACAGTGTGTTCTGGTTGATTTGTTCAGGGATCCCAGTAACATACCTGTTGGCTAGCTGCTTGGTCCCTGTATCTAGAAAAAAGGAGATAGGCCTAGGAGCCACAAGTGCCTTTGTAAAGGCAATAGCTGATCACAGTATAGGCAGAGGGATGATACTTGCCTGGAAGAAAAGTGCTGAAGGTCAGGTGGAAGAGATCCAGAGAGACCCCAGTCAAGCTTCGCTGACTGGGTCTGATATGTTTCAGGGTCCCTGAAAGTGGCTAGGAAGCGGACTGGGTGGAGGTACTCGGTCGGAGTACGGGAGTTCTGTCACAATATTTTTTTCATATTTTTTCTTCTCTTTTTTCTATTTATTTTTTTGGTCCTCAAATTTGTGGGTATTATTTAAATTTTTAAATTTTTATTCACTTGGTTAATTTTCTGTGGTTTCCAGATAACCCCCCACCTCCCTCCCCACCCCACCATAGTGCTATTTATTATGATAGCTATGCTTTGTGTGTTTTTTCCCTTTTATGTTTGTGGTATTTGAGCACAATTATCATATTATGTTTATTTTAACAAAACAGGGAAGTTAAAGACTGATGCAATGCAAGATGTGCACTTTGAAAGCACGCTAAGACTACTGGAATGCAATACATATATTAGGTATGCAAGTCACACAAAAAAAAAATGGAACTGGAACTTCAATCAAGAGCGAGGTCTGACACACATCGATTTAATAATAGACAAGAGAAGGCGCGGGTCCCAGTAGATTGGCTTACGGCTGTCCACGGGAGGCACCGGCCAGGGAATTTAAACCAGAGCTGACACCAATAAGTCTATAGTGATCAAGACTGCACAGATTATGGTTTGATTCCCCTGAGGAGGTTCATGCATATGGATGAAATACATAGAGCTTGTTTTTAATCTTTAAATTATTTTATTGTATTATTCTTAGTAATTGTTACTTCTTTTGGAATTCTTGGAGGTCTGAGCTTGCCTCGAGATATATTAGATGTGGAGATATGCTGATATTTTCATTTCATTTTTAAGTGCAATATAAATTAAAGCAGTGTTTGTATCTTTGAAGATCTGATCTATTGTCTGCCTCTATTTGCTTTTACATGCTCTTGCCGACTGGGAAATTGGAGAAAGAGAAGTGTACCCCTGATTGGATCTGCAATCAATTTATGTCTGTGAGTGTACATTACCATACATGCCTAGACGCTTATGAAAATAAAGATCAAGGTACTTTAACTTTATTTTTGTCATACATGTAATGGACTTGCTATACGGTCTTCAACAATGTACAATTCTCCTTCCTCCCATGA